AAAGCAAATCTCCATTCAGACCCTCAGTGCACACGATCATAAGCATGCACACAACTGCTCTCTGACTCGGGGCTCTTATTACCAACCCAATCATCATAATCTATACTGTGAGCCCAAAGACTCTCTTGGGAAGCTCCCCTTATTTCATCTTTTATCACCCCCCTCTTTCACTTTATTTCAGTAATTCAAACCCACTAAATCTAAATGCGAGGAGACACGGAGCCCTGCTGTTTTGACAAGTTAAATGACTACAGGCAACGATGTGCGTCTCAGTCAGTCTGTAAGCAGCACACGTCGCCAGCCACCGCCTTGCTGTGAGTTAAACAGAAATGTGTCTGTGTGTGCAGATGTGTTCTTTCCTCAAACACACAGCTCCTTTTTTCTTGGCTGTGACCACCCGACCCTCTGCAGCATCTTCCTTTTTAGGTGAAATTGAAATGGATCGTGTAGCTCAATATTTTATTGACATCAGCTTCAAAGAATGCTGCTACAGTGACACCAGGGATAATTATTTCACCACAGATTTCTTCCTCTCTGCATTTCTCTCCCTCTCTCAGTCTGCCTCCCTCCAAGCCCTTCCATTCCTGTAGAGAATTAGTTCTGCATAAATTACCCAGTGGAATATTGAATCAGTCTCCAGCCACCAAAGGCGAGTATCTGTGTGGCTGATTACCGAACAGCGCACACATCACAAATGTGGACACACACACAGAAACAGGAAAGGGGTGGTGGTGGGGGAGTCTCTGAGTGAGGAGTTGACACCGTTGCAGAGAACATAGTAAGGAGGAGAAGGGGGAGGAGGAAGGGAGGCGATGGAGGGAGATCAGCCAATCTGGAGAAGGGGAGCAAAAGCAGTATTAGCCACCTTAGCCACACACTATCTGCTCATTACTTAGTCATTAGCAGGGGCAGGGGCTTAAAGAAGAGAGGGATCAATCAATTGTCGCGGGTCAATGTTTTGCAGCCCTATTATGAACCCTGGGTGGCTTTGTAAATTGAGAACAGTAATTACTCATGTTAATCACACAAAGATGGTGGTCACACTGATCCACAAATATGTTTTGCATATTGCAAACGGTATGGTGAGCAAACACTGGGTGGCACTCTGCACTGGTCGGATGAAGGAGATAGATGAGCGCTCATCTTGTTCTGATGAGTTCACAACCATCCTCTGTACGTTCCTTCTGTGTATCTATTCAATTGACATTTCTTGGTTCTTTTTATTTGTTTAGAAAGAACCAAGACATGCAGGTTCACAAACATTTTATACAACACACACAGCATCTTTTAAAATAATGTTTAGCTTCTTGAATTAGAAAATTAGACACTTTTTTGGAAGAAGAAAACACTAGTTTTAGGATATTTGTGTGTTGCAAAAAAGAAGAGAAAAGGAATGGTTGGTATTGGGAAAAAGCTTTTTACTATAGTTGGAGGTGATGGTCATGCTGAAACCAGCCACCTCACTGGTGATAATCTGGTGGGGGTTCTGAGCAGCTGGCAGTGGCAAACAAGAAAGTAACCACCTAAGGAAGGTGCACATGAATCTATGCTGCGGGTTTCTGAAACTACACCGTACAAGCTGCAGATTTGTTTAAATGTTTGCGTCACTGTGCATGAAGGTCTATCAGCTGATAGGCTGGGCTGGAACATGGCTGCACTTTTTCATCCTCTAATTCAGAGTAAATAATTGTGGGGTTTTGGCAAATCCAAAAAGGCTTTATTACAAAACTAAACATAAGCAGGCCGTCACAGATGTTTCTGTATTGATCAAGTCAGACATAGCTTGAGCTCAGATTGAGTTTTCTGCTACAGATTTGATCACAGAACTGTTTGTGATAAGAACACTATCTAGGGATGCACCGATACCGATATCAGGCCCATACCGATGCAGTTGCCTGAAAGTGGCTTCACTGTAACTTGTCCTCTCTGTTCACCTAGTTTTGTGATAATTTCTGTTAATATATTTTATTTTTATCTACTTCACAGTCTTTTCTTGTTGGAAGCAGAGAAGAAAATGAAACCTATGTTCCAGTTCATTGCATTTTTTATGTGATGGAAGTATCGGTATCGGTATTGATATCGGCGAATACTCAGATCTGAGAATTGATGTTGTATCAGTTAGAAAAAAAGTGGTATCGGTGCACCCCTAATGCGATCATATTATTCCAGTTGTTGCCACTTTTTACGTTGGTGTTTAAAGTTGTATTTGGTGAAATTGATTCAACTATTTTGGAGGAAAAAAAGATTTTGTTTTACAGTCGAGTTTGTGATCATTGGTCTAATATCAGTCACTTATTTATCACGGGTATTAAACACTTCCCTCACTGCAGGCTATTTCTCTTTTAACTCTTCGTCTTTCTTTAGGATGACAAACAAATCTCAACAATGGTTCTTATGCTCGATATTGGCTATTATTTTATTTTTTTAATCAACATAAGATATACTGATATTGTCTGACTCCTAATGTCCGATACCAATATATGCTGTGTCCCCTCTCATAAAAAGTAAAACAAAAACAATTTAGGTAACCAACATCTCATATCTCCTATCGTGCATGCCTACATTTTAAACGTTTTCTATGCAAAACGACAACTGCTTCAATTAAGGTTAGTACGTATTTATTTAGTCTCCAACAACAGCTGAGTCTTATTCTCCCCCAGCGTGACACTAAGATGTTTGTATTAGTCAGTGATGTATTTTTTTCTTTTCTGTAAATTGCAGCTATGGTGATAAAACATTTATAACGATCTTCAGATAAGGAAAGCAAACCTTGGGTGAAGATTCTTGTGGCAAATTTCTACTTCACAAGTTGTGCGAAATAAACTAAAATATCAAACAAATTAAACATCAGATCTGTTATAATTTGACATTATTAGAGAAGAAGTAGCTGAAAAGTTTGATATGTAATGTGTGTGTGTGTGTGTGTGTGTGTGTGTGTGTGTGTGTGTGTGTGTGTGTGTGTGTGTGTGTGTGTGTGTGTGTGTGTGTGTGTGTGTGTGTGTGTGTGTGTGTGTGTCAAGGTGGAGAAACGAGGGCCCAGGCAGGATTTGATCCGCAGACTCCCTGTGGCCAAGTAGCCAGGACACATGATCAATCGGGATACAGTGACAGGACGCTCATCCTGTCACATCTGGTATGTACAAGTTGGATCATTAAGACTAAAAACCAAAAATGATATTTTCCATTATAAAATTTTAATGCAGATATCAATGGAAGACAGATACTATCCCTAGTTTTTAGCTTAATTAGCCAACAAGCATAGTGCAAGGTATTTTAGGCATGAGTTGTTCATGTTTATGTTTTCATAGGCATTTTCACAGAATCAATCTACCTTTATTTAGAAAGAATGACCTAAGAGAAGATCTGACTGTCTCATCTTCAGCCTCCAAGTTCAACAGCCTCTTTGAAATATGGAATAAGCATTAATTTTGTCATTTTACATCTGACTTGGAGCCATCCAGTGCTTGCGAATACTGATCTCATCAGATATTTGTAGAAGGCTGAGTGAGAAAGTTACACGAGGTAATTTATCTTTGCATCAGGATGAGGTATTGATCATTTTCTAGGATGCCCGGTCATGAGAGGAAGAATTCCCTGTTATATCGCAGATGTCCAATATACTGGATGCCTCCACTGGGAGTTCCCTGTGTGTAAATGTGAGTTTTAGCTTATCACTGGTCGATTAGCCGGCTGTACTGTTGTTGATACACAGTTTTGTGCACAGAGATGCTCAAGAGGCTCTTTAAAAAGAGATTGCTGAGCAGCTCCCCATGCTTAAAAGCATTGTTCATTGTAGGGGTCCCTTGAGTGTTTTGAGGACCACTTCTATGCTCTTTACATATTTTTATATAGAGTAAGACATCTGTATACGTCATAGTGCTCCATACCGACAATTGTCTTTGGGGATTCCTGTTCTGAAAGACAAATTTTCAAGAAACAGATTGTGTGTAAAGTTATTTCAGATGTTCAATTAGAATCTTTCTTAGAGTCAAGTGGCAACAGACAGTGAAAATCACATGTATTAAGAACATTCTCACTGTTATAGATTATAAACTCCCGGAAAAAGTAATCAACTCCTGCGTGTAACGGAAGGAAACCATCATCAGGAAGTCATCAGGTGCTATCAGTGATTCAGCAGGAGTGTTTCAAAGATTATAATAGCGGGTTTGTTTATGCTCTGCACCATCTTTCTCCACACATTCCTTTTTGTTGAAAATACACTTGGTGCCATCTAGAGGTTTGACTGTTAAATGTAATCTTACTCTTCAAATGTTCCATCATTCTGACAATAAATAACAGTGAATATGGTCTATGATGGAACTCATTCACTCCTTATTCAAGATGTAATGAAGAATGTTTGGATTAAGTAAATCCCTGGTCTTTGCATAATTTTCAAAGTAAATTAGATCTATGCTTATTTTTTATTTTATGTGTATTGAGATTATGCTTGCATAGCAGAAAAACCCATCCCAGATTCATAATTTGTTTTTACCATTGAAATCAAAACAATGGAAAAATCAATAATAATAAGTAAAAAAAAATATATATATATATATCCCATAAGTGGTGCTATGGTACTTGTTCGACGGTAGATGGCAGCACACACACCAGTCTCAATGAGCTCCTGCTTCTTCGACTGTTGCGTTTCTGATGCATTCAGGTGCTTATAGTAAATTTGTTATTTCAAGTTGCAAAACGATTTTAAAACAAACTAAACAAAAGAAACGAATTCAAACGCTATTGCTTGAAGTAAATGTTTTTATTAATTTCTGTTGAAACGTGGTTGTGACAGCCTATCGAAGGAGGCAACAGCTGTTCACTCCTATGTTGCTATACATGTTGCACCTACAATTTTATCAAATTCTTTGGGATGAAAAGAAATAACTCTAATAGAAAAATTCCATTTTCTTTATATAGTTGATGGTTTTTAAAATATTTTAAATAATGTTACAGTACGAAACTTTCAGGACAAATTTTCGGATTCCGCATGAACATTGAAGGCAACACATGAGTAGCTCACGTGCTACCAACACACTGCGCGTTCCTAGCTGCCGCTTTGCTCGCAACATGTAGACAGCATGTCGGAATGAGTAAAGAATAATCATTTTGTTTTTATTCCTGGTGGATACTACTGTAATAGAAGCTTCCAACATGGTGAAGGAGCAATTCAGAGAGACAGATGTGGCCAAGAAAATGTGAGTTCACCACTGTTAGCCAGTTAGCTTACTGGCTATCCGTGGTTACATGTGTGTGTGTGTGTGTGTGGTGAACATTTTGTTTACTTCTACAAAACAACACAATACATAATCGTGTCTCCACTAGAGTATCGCATAGGTAGTTTGTGGTTACGCGAACGCAGTTTCAGTCATGGACGTGGTTAGCAAGCTAACTGGTGTTAAATGTGGAATAATGAATCATATGTTAAACCCCAAGTTGATTTAAAGTCTTGACTTCCTATTTAGTGTGTTTGCTGTCGTTTTATGCATTTGCACAACACAATAGGAGCATTTCTACAGCCTTATGAATGAAAGTTGTCTGCTGACTACATTCTTATCTGCTTTTACAGAAGCCACATCTGCTTCGGCATGAAATCTGCTGAGCAGATGCGACAGCAGGCCCACATCCAGGTTGTCAGCAAGAATCTGTACAGCCAAGACCCCAAACGCACTCCCCTGCCTTATGGAGTGTTGGACCATCGAATGGTACGGCGTAGATACCAGTAACTATGCGAATTCTTGTTTGGTTTCTTGTAGCTTTCTGCCATGCCAATCACAAGTACTTAAATGATTGCCTTCAGTTAACCAGAATCTTTTAGATCCTTCCTATGGATACAAACGGAGACAAATTCTGATCTTTGACTTATATGAATGAGTTCCTGTTTTAATAAATTGCAGATCATGATTATAAAAAAAAGAAGCTTTTTTTGGTTTTGTCCAAATTTCTAATAACGTTTGATGTCTGCCTTGAGTCTCCATTCACCCTCAGATAACTTAGCATAATTTAGCTATGCTGGCCTAATAAATGAATAGATTAATTGTAAAGATAATCAGTTGTTATTCATAGAAGAAAAATAAAAAAACAACTACACAATCCAGATGAATGAAGTAACCACGTATTTCTGTACTGTGCTCTTGTTTGCTGTAATAACTTCTTGTTTTCTGTTTGCTGCAGGGAACCAGTGAGAAAGACAGACCATGTTTGACGTGTGGGAAGCAGCTGGCCGATTGTTTAGGGCATTATGGTTATCTGGATCTGGAGCTACCATGCTTTCATGTTGGCTATTTCAAAGCCACTATTGGAATCCTACAGGTTAGTCCTCTTGTGGTTCTTAAGGGTTCACAAAATGTATAGGGTGACATATTTTATAAACACTTATGATTGCAAATAATTCTAGAATGGTTATTTGGAGTCTTGAATCTGTAATATCTCAATTTGTCCACGAGGGGTCATTAGAGTGTCAACATGAGGACATTAGAGCCCTTTTCAGACTGACATTCTGGAACATTTGCGGACAATTCAATCCGGTTTTTAATCGGAACTGTGTTTTCAGACACACCACTTTTGTACCGGAACTTGTCCTTTCGGCTGCGTTCACACAGCAGGGAAAAGTTCCAGATGTCTGACGGCGGGGTGGGGTGGGGGTAGAATCGGACTCATGTTAAGAAGAAGAAGAAGAAGAAAATATAATTTCTATAGCGCCTCTCAAGATAAAAATCACGAGGTGCTTAAGCATAATTCTGCGCACACGAAGATGCATAAGAGACCTGTATGATGAAGCTCAGTGGTTAAAGGAATCACTGAAGCGGTGTGAAGCGCTCCGTCGCGCGTCTAGACGGTACCGTAGGAGGCGAGCTGCCGTGGTTCGCCGCATGCTACAGCAGCGAGTTATATAGGTGCGCACAGCGTCCCCCGGTCCCCTCCTCCTCCCCCTCCCCCTTGTCCGGAACTTTACCTCACCAGTCTGAAGCAGCCAACCTGTCCGTAACAAGTCCGGACCTGTTACTAGGGGCTTCGTCTGGATAAATTCCAGAACACGTTATCCGGATGTTTGTATTCAGACAGAAAGGTCTTACGGACAGATTCCGGAACATTTCCGTTTTTCATGGCCTGTCTGAAGGGGGCTTAGGAGATGCATTTGCTGGTTTTTACCTTAGAACAGTGTTTGCATCCTTTTTAAATGGTAAACATTTGAAGCAGTGATATGTGTCACCACTGAGACAGGTTAGATATTTTTCCAGTCTAATGTCATTTTGATTTGTGTCTAGATGATTTGCAAGACATGTTCAAGCATAATGCTGACAAAAGAGGAGAAACTGCAGTTCATGGATATTTTGAAGCGACCAAACCTGGCTTATCTCCAAAAACGAGGGCTGAAGAAGAAGATATCTGATAAATGTCGCAAAAGGACAGTCTGCCTGAAGTGTTCAGCTTTTAATGGTGATAAAAGACACAAATTTCACAAGTAGATCTTTTGATTACATCTTTTGTCTCTTGTCTTGACTTGATAGTTTAACCCTCTGGAGGCAGGCGTTGCAGATTTGCAACGTTAAAACCCACCCACCTGGTTACTCCACACACGTATTTCATGAGCATTTTTTAACTCAGAAGTACCCCTGAAAGACTTAGTTGTTCGTCCTTTTATCAAAACTTATTTCGAGCCTGAGAGAGTAAAATGAAAATGTATGGTGTTTTTAAATTTTCAGGACCTGTGAAAAAGTGTGGCTTGCTGAAGATCATCCATGAGAAGTTTAAAACAAACAAGAAAGTGGTGGACCCGTTTGTGTCCGAGTTCCTGCAGTCCTTTGATATCGCCATCGAACACAACAAACTAATGGAGCCTTTATTGTCCAGAGCACAGGTAATCTTCAACTCTTAAAACATGTTGAAAGATTCATCTTAAACCTTAAAAGATTTTGCAGAATTAACAAAAATATTTAGCACATGACTCGTTCAGTTGTGTATTTAGCATAAGTCTGCACTGATTCTAATTCCCTTTCCAGGAAAACTTGAATCCTGTGGTTGTCCTTAACCTGTTCCGGAGAATCCCTCAGGAAGATATCCCTCTGCTGCTGATGAACCCAGAGGCTGGGAAGCCCGCTGATCTCATCATCACTCGTCTCCTCGTGCCTCCTCTCTGCATTCGACCCTCTGTGGTCAGCGACCTGAAGTCTGGCACCAACGAGGATGACCTCACTATGAAGCTGACAGAGATCATCTTTCTTAATGATGTCATCAAAAAGGTTTTTTCCACAAATAATCATCATTTCTTTAATATCTGTTTTTTACCTTTGAATCCTAAATTGTTGGACAGTTTTTATGATTTTTTTTCTATTTGAAATCGTTTAGCATCGCATGACGGGGGCAAAAACCCAGATGATAATGGAGGACTGGGATTTCCTCCAGCTGCAGTGTGCTCTTTACATCAACAGTGAGCTCTCTGGCATCCCTCTCAACATGGCACCCAAAAAGTGGACCAGGGGCTTTGTGCAGAGGCTGAAGGGAAAGCAAGGTACAGTGTAATGACGGAGTCAGAAAATTTTCATTGAATGCAATTCATTTTACTGAGTTTGTTAGTTTGAGTTTATTTTTACATCACTGTTTTTTATTCTCTTATAATTTAGACCCTTTCTACCTTAGAATAAAAAAACAAATTGCAGGGCCTCATTTATAAAACTTTGCATTGAATCCTTAGTAAAACTCCACTTAAGCTCAGCAAAAGAAATTGTTAAACAAACAAAAACAAAAACAAACTATTTACACACAGCTTCAGGCAGTTTCTGCTTTATAAGTCACACCAATAAGCTCAGGTGTTTCTGGATCTCATCCCGTCCCCTACACACCCCTTTCTATCATAACTGGACAATGCAAACTGCATGATGAATATTGTGCATATAAATCAGCGTGCTTATTTAAGGCATGTCACGGGTAACCATGGCAACCAAGACAGAAATCCACCCTCTGGGGTGTGACATTGGTGCGGAAAAAATATTTTACTACCTTCCTGCGGTACAGCGCTGCTGCAGTCGATCAGCGTATTTAGATCAAACAAACATTTAAAGAAGTGGTCAGATGGAGCCTAACGCCTGGAACACACCAGACGCGGAAGCGTGATGATGCGCTGCAGAGCAAGCAAATAGTTGGTTTTGTGTGTGTGCTCGCAGGTCTACAGGTCTGAAAATGTGTCCTTCATAAAACATTTCACCATCTGATCATCTCCAAAATGTGCTCACCAGGTCTAAAGTTTGCTTGAAGTTGTGCTCCCCCCCCCCCCCCCCCCCCCCCCCCCCCCCATCAAGTTTTTCTTTATTTATCACAACGTTTGCATGGAAAGTCACTTACGCAGTTTTGTGCATAAGCAAGCTTTATAAGTGAGAGCCTTGTGCTGTAAAAATCCACCAAGAGGAAAAATTTTCTTTAGATGTTCAATTAGAGTTCTCAAAAAGCACTTTGAGATGTTAGGCCGTCCCAAACAATATTTAAGTTTTTAAAAGTAACAGTTTTTAGGTAGTGAACGTATTCAAGAGTTTAAAGCAGAGTCATTTACGGTGATAACGCAGGTCGATTCAGAGGAAACCTCTCTGGGAAACGAGTGGACTTCTCAGGCAGAACCGTGATTTCCCCTGATCCAAACCTGAGGATAGACGAGGTGGCCGTTCCCGTTCACGTGGCCAAGATCCTCACGTACCCAGAGAGGGTAGGTGGTGCATCGTTTCTCTGGTGAACATGTGTAACAACCACTTTGTTGTTATCAACAGTTATCAGCAGATTCTGTCTGCCGCCCTCTGTAGGTTAACAAAGCTAATCTGGAGCTGATGAGAAAACTGGTCCGTAACGGCCCTGACGTTCATCCTGGAGCCAACTTCATCCAGAACCGTCACACGCAGATGAAAAGGTGAAGCCATCTGCGTCTCACAGCTCAAAGCGGTGCGGATGAGATTTACCTCCAGATAAAAAAGTAAATCCTCGTTTTCTTCATCCAGGTTTTTGAAATACGGCAACCGTGAAAAGATTGCTCAGGAGCTGAGGTTCGGTGATGTGGTGGAAAGACATCTGATAGACGGAGACATCGTCCTCTTCAATCGACAACCTTCTCTGCACAAACTCAGCATCATGGCCCACATTGTGAGTCCGCCTGAACATGTTTAGACCACGAGGTGTAGTTAGAAATCTGTTTGGACTTGGATGATAGCATCAACACGAGAAACGTCCCGTGTTCTTTAACAAAATGTCTCAAACTACTTTCAGTACTTTTCCTTTCACTAGTTTCCATCTCATTATTTGTAGAGATGAGCTCTTTTCTTGCATAATCTGTTTTTGAACTGATGACAACAGCTCACTACGCTCAGATCTTAGAAGAGTTTGTTCTTTCTGAACAGAACAAGAAGCAAATCACTCGCACTAATGCAGAAAACTAATGATCTATGATGTACTCAAGTGGCCTGAAGTCCTTGAAAACATTGGCTGATTGATTGAAAGGAGATAATTATGGTTATTATCTACATGAATTTCTGCTGTGTACATCTTAGTTTGCTGATATTCTACAGTTGGAGTTAAATTTTAATCACGGTTGACTTTCCTGAACAAAAATTGACTAATGGCTGTACCTAACCTCCCAGGCGAGAGTCAAACCACACAGAACGTTCCGGTTCAACGAGTGTGTGTGCACGCCGTATAACGCCGACTTTGACGGCGATGAGATGAACCTCCATCTGCCTCAGACTGAAGAAGCCAAAGCCGAAGCCCTGGTCCTGATGGGGGTGTGTATCGCAGCAACATGTTGTGCTTACACCAGATATAAGCTCTCTGTGCTGGGACTTACCGGTCCGACTGAGATGTTTATCTTGTCTTCCAGACCAAAGCCAATCTAGTCACACCGAGAAATGGCGAGCCGCTGATTGCTGCTATTCAGGACTTTCTGACAGGTTGGTGCAGTGATTTGTAGCAGCCAATCACAGGTCACGCTGCTGCGTTTTTATCTCATCGGAAGGTTCCGGTTCTTTTGAGTTCAACTTTACAGATTTGTTGCTTCATTGACAAACGGGATAAAACAGCTGAGGACTCTGATAGAAAGTGGCTGATGATGGTTTTCCAGCCTGATGGGGGAGCACTTTAACAGTTCTTCACATTTCCTTTCCACTTTACCTTATCCCCTTAGGTGCGTACCTGCTGACGCTGAAGGACACCTTCTTTGACAGATCCAAAGCCTGCCAGATAGTAGCATCGATTCTTGTTGGCAAAGATGAGAGAATTAGGATTTCTCTCCCTCGCCCAGCTATTGTGAAGGTACTCCTCTTCTGTGTGTCTCATAACTCTGATTCAATGTTGCCACTAACAGTGTTTCCATCAGCCAGTCACTCTGTGGACGGGTAAACAGATCTTCAGCTTGATTCTGAAACCCAGTAAGGACTGTCCCGTTAATGCAAACCTGCGCACCAAAGGCAAACAGTACTGTGGCAAAGGAGAGGATCTCTGTCACAACGACTCCTGTGAGTTTAGTCTTTTGAATTTAACACACACACACACACACACACACACACCAACATTTTAGAATTGTGACGTTTCATTTGAAGTTTTTTATTATTATTTAAATAACATAAAAACACAACACACACACATCTTATGATGAAAAATGATTAAAATCATATAATTGGAAAAGTTATAAGAAAATGATTGGATTATGTTGCAAGTTTTTTTAATTTTCTTTTGATAAAAAGCTTTTAGTGTTTTCCTCTGAGATGAAGGTTTTTTTCTTCGTCACCCTTAAAACGGCGGAAAGCGCACCACAGGGTTCTGCTGACCTTGTTGGTGTTTCTGTTCTGGATCTAATGGCTCCTTCCCTTTCTGTTGGTCACGTCCCCAGTTGTTGTGATCCACAACAGCGAGCTGATGTGTGGCAGCATGGACAAGGGTACCCTGGGATCTGGCTCCAAGAACAACATTTTCTACATCCTGCTGAGAGACTGGGGACAGCTGGAGGCCGCCAACGCCATGTCCCGCCTGGCGAGGCTTGCTCCGGTCTTTCTCTGTAGGTGCTCTGTAGGTTTTGCTTGGCATTCAATCTCTAACACTCTGTGATATCATGATGCAAATTAGGAAATATTTCCTGGAAATCGCACAGAGATGCAGTGCTGTAATAGTCTCTTTCAGACGTATTTTATGGTTCATTTGGTCTTGAGTTCTGCATTTCCTTTCAGAGTCACATGGGACGTTTCTGAGTTGAAACGGTCATGATTGAAGTGCACACACTGGTGATGTTCTGTATAATGAAGCAAATTAATGCCTTAACATGTCCTATGGCCATCCAACCCTCAAGTCCGGAGTATAAATAAAGAAAACGTGGTGGTGGTGATGTGAATGGCTATCGGCTACTCAAATCTGTAATTTAAGCTCAGTTTCTAAGAAGTAGACAGAGCTTTTAAGTATTTTGGTAGCCATTTTGACAGATGCAACTGTAAGTGTGCATCAGTTGTTTACATACAACTGGGTATTATTTCCTGGAAGTTTAATTAAATGATGTTTAGTGGGTCATCGGAAATTTATTTGAAAAGTCACAGAATAAAAAACATTTCTACTAAAAAGCAATAAAAGAAAAATCATTTGTTGAAGACTTAAGTTCACTGAGCAACAGATTTTCCCTTACTTTTTAAATGTGATCAGCCACTCTGGGTTTAACATGCAGGCTAAACGTGAAAACGGTTTTCTACTCCCATTTCCTGCGTTAGCTGACAATAGAAAATAGGCGAGGAAACACTCGGATCAGAAAAGTCGGTCAGATTTATGTCATATTGTCAAACTGGCATTCATGGATTTACCCGTCTTGGCTCATGACGGAGAAGGCTTTTGGTTTAGTGTCCCGGAGAAAGCAGAGCGTGTCTTGGCTAGCACCTCCACAACATGCTTCTACTTCCTGAAACATTAGTGCGAGAGCTTTTATTCAGCAGAGATCAACTGACCAGGCATTCATTCATACTAGACACCACTGCAGATGTACTAAAAACAAACAAACAAGTGAGCTCAGTATTTTAAACGACTTGATCATGCTCAAATATCTGCTTTCTTGGTAAGTCACTTCAGCATCTAATGACTTTCATTTGACTTCCAGCCAACAGAGGGTTTTCTATTGGAATCGGTGATGTGACCCCTGGTCAGGGTTTGCTGAAGGCCAAGCAGGACCTACTGGATGATGGCTACAAGAAGTGTGACGAATACATCGAAGCTTTGGAGACGGGGAAGTTACAGCAGCAACCCGGCTGCTCAGCGGAGGAGACTCTGGAGGTAGGCACGTGTCACCTCGGTCCCCACCATCAGGAAAGTCTGCCCTGAAAGTGGTTCAGCGGAACAGACCTTCAATAGAAACCTAAACTAATCATATGTTATTTTTAGAGCTAACCTGTTGCAGAAGTACAATGCTGTAGTTTGTTTATTGTCTATTTTTTATTAGGCACTTATTTTGAGAGAGCTGTCTGTAATCAGAGACCGAGCTGGCAGCGCCTGTCTCAGGGAGCTCGACAAGAGCAACAGCCCCCTCATCATGGCTCTCTGTGGTTCCAAAGGTAAGCTCTCTAATCTCAGGTAACACAATCTGATGTTCTTTTTGTGGTCAATAAATTAAACCAACAGGAGCATAATCACTTCAGGATTATCTTTCATACATGTTGAACACTTAAAGCTTTTATAGTAGGTGGTTGTCACGAGAATAAGGAGGGAGCTGACCAGTGTGGTCTCCCCTGCTGGGCTGTCTAAGTAAAAATAGAGAAAGAGGTGAAGAAATAAAACAAAACTGAGCTAGGAAAAAATAGGAAAAGGTTTGTGTCGCGGGGGTCTGACTCCCAACTTTTCATCAGTGCCAGGATAAACACACAGTCACTCCTGACGTTTTATTACAATAATTTTCTGATTATTTAACTCTAAAGATGAGCAATTATATGCTTCTAGGGCAAGAAAAGGAAAAGAGGAAACATTAAAATAAAATGTCTGTATAGATAAATGAACAAATTATTTTTAGTTTTTAACATTTACTTACAAAAAGATTTCAAAAAGCATAAAAATCTCTTACGTTTACAGGATTGGGAGCCCCTTGTTTCTCTTTTAAAGGTCCAATAAGTAAGAATTATACAGCGAAATAATAACAAAGCAGTCTGTAAGTCTCAGTCATGAAGGAGGGTTACATTGAAACAGATTTTCTTAACAGCTGGCTGGGGGTTATTAATATTTCTCCTTTTAATAGTGATGGAATGATGATACCTCAAGGAGTGTATTGACACACTACACAAACTGTGCCAGCACAGTATTGACACTGTGTTGGTCACTCAATAGTGACACCTGCAGTATTTCTAAAATCATTGCAGGTAAATAAGATGGAAAAGCTTACATGCTGCAAACCCACACCAGGTGTGCAAGATTTAATTTCCTGTAGTCAAAATATTATATCATCATTATTAAATTTAATTTACTCAATTTGTTGAGTTAAGTTGTTTATGCAAGGAGTTTAACATTTGCTTATAACCTTGTTTGTGTAAATGCTACAATGAGTTGGCATGTTAAATCTTATGAAAGTGTCTGTAATAAAAATCAGAGGTAAAAGTTTTAACTTATGTAAATGTGTTAACCTCCATGTTAGATCATACAAAATAAAAGACCAAATATGGATTCATTTATGCATTTTTATTGAGGAACAAAAGTTGTTGAAGTGTGTTTGCTCCAAGGCGATTTCTCCTCTTAGACACCAGTTCCCCTGCCGTAGAAAACACTCTTTCACAAGGTACAGATGAAGATGGTGTGCATAAGAATTTAAGTGCGAGTTGATAAAGGTGTGGATATAAATTCTGGTTATTTTTCCAATATTGTCATGGGTCTTGTGTTCTTGGTGTGTTGCTTTCAGCCAGGTAGCGTTGGACTTCAATTATGGAATTGGCTGTAGTATTAGAGGTCATCCTGCTCTCCTCAACCTCCATATCAAGGTGTCTCCAGAGATTGTGTCCAAACAAATATATTGGAAATAAGTCTGTTAATCATTGGTTTACTATCACATGACAAACTTCCACAGAAATAAACAAATATTCACAAAGAAACGTGTTTTGAAACCTGAACTGTGTTCTGATCCGTGCAAAGTGCTAGGCTCTTCTACTGCTGGGTCAGGCTCATGGCTCCTCATTTCAGCAGCACGCTCGGTGACTTCAGTCTCTTGACAGCTTCAGTTGCTTTCAGTGGACTAAAAAAGCCAACAGTTTAAACCTGGGGTCCAACAGTGTTGCTAGTGACATCACACCGAGCGATTCCATGCTGCAGATGGACTCTATCCAACAAATTCGCAACATGTCGATACAGTTTGTTTCCTTATAAACCCTATTTGGCGCGGCACATCCAAACGACACACTTCCTGTATCGGTCACGCGATATTTTCTTAAAGCGATACATGCACCAATACGGGGTTTCGCTCGTGTGCACTCGACACTGTGCTGACGCACCAGTGTCGTTCGTCCCATCACTACCTTTTAAAAAGACTAAAGAGCAGTAAGGCTATTGTTTACAATCTGTGAGCCTGCAGGGCATTTGTAATTTGACGCAGGCCGGTAAAAGGCAGCAGTATTTTGTAGAGGTGTGAATCTTCACTTGTCTCCCGATTCAATTCGATTACGATTATTGGGTCAACAATTCGATTCGATATCCCAATGCATCATGATAATTTCATACTGATTTGTTTTCATCGATAAATAGAAGATGTCGGATAATTGCTATTTATTTTTAATTTATTCCGCATTCCGCTATAATCGATTATGGCGTACTCTTCTACGATGCAGAATCGTTTATGTTCGCATCCCAATGCAACGATTCTTTGATTATTTTCCTCAGCTCTAGTTTTTTGTAAAGATCCTAAGTCAGTAGTACAAAAACCCAGAAGTTATTTCCTGTGCCCCTAAGAAGCCACAACATCTTTTTGCTTTAGTTTAATATCTGGTAAAGAAGACCAGAGGCTAAAGTTGAGCTAACGTTGAGCTAACAATGAATTAGAAGCAAATAGTCAGATCTAAAAATATTTCAATATACTTTTTCAATTACCAACAACTCAATGTTACAGTGAAATGCATTTATCTAGAATCTTCTGATGCTGATCCGTAGCTGACAACAACTATGAAGCTCAGGAATGCTAGGCATTTTTGATGCATGGGCTTCAGTACTCAAATTTGACCACAGGATGTCATTCTTACTTCATGCACCTTTTATGCAACATCTGCAAGTAAAACCTTTAGTTTTTATAGAACTAGTTATTAATTTGATCCAGTTCATTTATACTAAAAAGTGTTTACCATCCCAGATCCCAGATTAAAGAACTCACAGCTTCTTAAGGGGATAAACAAACGAGGAATGCCTCAGAGAGCTTAATAAACGAAGGCAGCAGGAAATGCAAACTGCTCTCAAATTAGTCCACAAGATGAATATCTGCTTTTCAGCCAACTTGCTGGATGAATGACAACTCCTCAGCACACCAAACACACCATCTCAGACAAAAACACATCAGCCAGGAGTTATGCTTCTCTGAGGAAACAGATCAGCCCTGAAAAGCAAATTCTGGGAACCAGAGCTTGAAGTAAAAGGGAAGTTAAGTCAGGATGTAGAACATTTATAATTAGTTCTGCACTGTCTGTAGAATCTGAGTGACCACAGCTTTCACTGCTATGTGCGTCAGCCACTGAGCCCCAAAATAGCATTACAGGGAAATCTTTTACTTTCACACTTTAGAAGACTATTTTTATTTGGCTGGTTTACTTCATAAAGATTTCAGAAAAATGCACGTCCTCCAGAACCTTTTTATTCCTTTGAAAACATGCATCATTGTTATCCTCCTCCTGGAAAGGTCATACAATAGCAATTTCTGGTGTTTGATTAAAATAAAATTGTTTTGACACTTTTAATCTGCAAATCCAAAGATTGTGTAAAAGATACTTTAAATCCAAACAGTCTAAATGAATTTTATTTAACAGCTAGGTGCTAAAGTAGGCACTAAAAGAGGAGCCTCTCTCTGTGCACTGTTTCTCCTCTTTGTCAGTTGTCCATGTTTATTTATTTTTTTAAACACTGTTCTCTTTTTACATCTGTGTCTTTTCATGCATCCAGGATCCTTCATTAATATTTCCCAGATGATTGCCTGTGTGGGACAGCAGGCCATAAGTGGCTCTCGAGTCCCTAATGGGTTTGAGAACCGCTCCCTGCCTCACTTTGAAAAACACTCCAAAGTAAGACATCTTTTAATTAAGCAAATCACACATGTGAAATTGTGTTGGAGCTATATAGACCATTGCTGAGTCTTGAGTGTAAAATTGCCCCTGATGCATCGGTCTCAAACTGGGCTCAAACGTTGTCGTTTTCAGCCAGTTAGCTTAACCAGTTTATTTCCATTTTCCAAAGCATCCCAACTTTTAATCTCCTTTTCTTAATTTACACCAACATTTCTTAGAGAAACAGAATCAAACTTAAATCATAATAAATTAAACTGATATAGACTCAAGATAGTAGTAGAGGTATCTAATGGACACTAATGGTACTCAGAAGTTCTGTTAATGACTCCGTAATGATTTTCCCCCAGCTGCCTGCTGCTAAAGGCTTTGTAGCCGACAGCTTCTACTCTGGTCTGACGCCCACGGAGTTCTTCTTTCACACCATGGCTGGTCGAGAGGGTCTGGTGGATACCGCTGTGAAAACCGCCGAGACGGGATACATGCAGGTAATGCCTTTCCACTGGTTGCCATGCAGATGTCTGAAGCTTCTCTCTGACTGAAACGCATCCCAAATTTTGGAACAACAAATGTTTCTAAAATACAAAACTAGACCAATGTCAGATGGGGCTTACGTTTTCATTACATTCCTGTCATGGCTTCCTGAATGACCTCCATTCAGAGACATAGAGTTTATGTCCTGATGAGGTCGTGACTTGTCCAAGTACCACCAGGACAGCTGACAGTACAGACGCAGCACTGTCGCCGAAAACAGTCGCACACTGAGTAAACTATTTAAAGTATGAGCAACAAGACAACTTTTACATTTATTCTTAAAATGAACACGTTTCTTATTAATGTAAATTGTAAATGACTAGAGGCCGGCTGATGTTTATTTTTTTTTAGGCTGATACCGACTTTTAAAGAATTTTGTTGCCGATGGCCTATACCTAAACCCGATTATTAAGACCGATAACTCTATATCTCTGTATATCTATATAGATATATAGATATGGATATAGATCTATATATACACACGTTTTAGTAGCACATTGATTGTGAAAGACAACTGAACACTCACTGTGTGTAATATAAATGAACTAAGTCAATACATCTCTTAGTATTTATTGAACTTCAAATACAACACAAACTCAAATAAGTGAGTTCTTGGTATCAAAATATGTCTTTAAAATTCACGGACATCATATGTGAAATCCATGGCACAAAACAAGCGGACTTAGAAAATAGCGTTTTTAGCCCCGTTGACTTGCGTTCATTTTTTTCGTTCTTCCGGGGACCCGTGGTGTGGAAGTGACTTAGACTCCCTATAGAGTCCCAAAATAAAGATACTGTGTAACATTAGTGAGGATGCACACTTCTAATCAAGAGATCATTTTCTCTGGTGGAGAAGAGTAATTGGCTGCACGTACGTCAGAGTTTTAGCTGGCTAGGCAGATTAAGACATGCACATACTAGAGCTGCACAGTTCTGCTTAAAACGACAATCACGGTTTTGCTTAGAAGTGAGATCCCGATTCTCTCATAATTTTTTTCCAGAATAAGTGTTTATTGCACTTATTACGTGCACATCAACTTTGTAACAGCTGTCGCTGAACATGAAAACAATAAATGTCTCTCGTGGTCTCTTAAGTACACAACTTTAGAATAATTTAAACACTGATGATGACAGAGGTAGGTAATAGGCATGTTTCTTAAAACGTAAACCACGGTCATTAACAAAATATAACATTTAAAATGACAACATGATTGTCGTTGACCGTGGCAGGACCAGAACAAAGAACATAGTCCTTATTTATCTAGCCAGCTGCTTAAAATCATTGTCATTTGGAAATGAGATTGTATACACGTATGAATAGAGATCACGATTAATTGTGCAGCCCTAGCACACACCCAAAATGAGAAATTATTCAATGTTTTTGATAATTAATAATTGATTTCTCTGCTGCACAATCACTAAACAGCTCCAGGAAAATGGCGCATGCCATGGTCAACACCTAAGTAAAATAATACTTGAACTTTATTTTAGAAGAGCTGCCCTGTGTGAAAGTGCTGACAGGATGGAGGTTGTGAGTTCAAATTCCATTTAGGAAATGTAGTCCATTGTATTATTTGTTCCAGGGGTCCTCAACTAAATTTGTTCTAGGTTTTTTTTTTTTTTCAGTAGACACCAGAGAAGGTCAGATCTCTTCTAAAATAAAGTTCAAATATCATTGCATCATAATTTATTACAATTTAAAATGGCCTTGTTTCCCATCTGGACTGTTTGATTGTGGTTTTAGTTGTGTTTGGAGAATGTGGACAGTTGCAGATATTTAGGATATGAATTTGTAGAGGCCCCCAATTGGGGGGCGTTAGGGTTAAACAGGTTAAAAAAACGGTGTGTCCTGAATCCAGTCCTTTGGGTCCTTTCTTCAATCTAGTAGTGGCGCCAATTGGCCACACGGGTGTCAGGTTTATTTATTTATTTTTATCGGCTTTTAAAAATAATTTCGGCCGATGGCCCATTTAGAACAAATTGAGTATATAGTTATCTATAAATGACATGGGGATCTGTTTCGGTGACGCGTCTCTGCTTTTTGCAGATGATGTGGTCCTGTTGGCTTCATCAAAACATGATCTCCGGCTTTTGCTGGAGCCATTTGCAGCCGAGTGTGAAGCTGCTGGGATGAGAATCGGGTGCATCAATTGCTCCGATACAGTTTCTCGTCAGTAGCAGCAGAGGGGAGGCCCGCGGTTTGTTTTGCTGACGTGCGTCCTCCATGTCAGTGGAGAAGGTAGAGCCGAGGGGGGTGGGACCACACTTAGCCTGGTGGGCTACCAAGCAAATCCTGGCGGTCCGCCGGGTTTATAGAGCGCTGGGGGAAACCCTGATCACCATTCAAATACAAGATAAAAGAAATTGTTCTTTGGAATGGATTTAAAACGTGCAAGGAAACGGCCTGCATCCTTTGCAGCTGGAGGAAATTCTACAGTTCTGGGGCAATGTATGAGAAGGTGGGATTTATAATGTAATTTAGGTGTTCAGAAGACCTCAGAGATTGTGGCGGGATGTGATAATATTGGTGAGATATGAGGGTCCCTGGGCATGAAGGAGTTAGTGTTTATCCTCATCAGCATCAAACTAACTTAATGAGAATTTCAAACTTAATCGACTCAGTTTTACTGTCACCACACTGTGCCTCTAGGTTGTTCTGCCTTTGGCCCATGGGCTTTGAGTTTGGTGTGTGTTATAAAGGTAAGACTGAACAGAGTTTAGACATGTCATTACATTTACATACATTCTTGTGTATTTGTGATTGTTTGAACAGAGGCGTCTGGTGAAATCCCTGGAAGATTTGTGCTCTCAGTATGACCTGACAGTGCGCAGCTCCACTGGTGACATCATCCAGTTTATTTATGGCGGTGATGGTCTGGATCCAGCTGCAATGGAAGGAAAAGATGAGCCGCTTGAGTTTAAGAGAGTGCTGGACAACATCCGGGTGAGTTAAATCAGCTAATGGTGTGTTCCTCCATGCTGCTACACCATACCAAGAAACTGTGATTTATGCTGAGTTTATTCTAGCTCTCCAATTTAATGATTATCTTGTAATTAAATTTCATATCCTAACCGTTTCTGTCACAAACTGGCTGCATTAAGCCCATTTTATATGCTAATACTTTGCTTCCTGCCAGAAGCAATACATTTTACATAAAACAAATAATAAAACATCTTCCGCTGGCCATGCAGTCATTAACCGTTGCCAGGCTAATTAGTTTAAATTCATTTTCCAGCCAAAAATTCATTTTTCCAGCTCTCTCAGGCACGAGTAGGAATAAATGAGTTAACAAGGGAAAAGCTGAAGTAGGTCTGATCTCTAGTTGAGTTGTAAAATCACAACTGCTGTAGGATAATGTTTTATCTGTAATGCATGGTTTAATTGTAATAAATTATACACTCTTTATTAGGTCTTGTTTGATCACAGCAGTAATTTCATGAATGAGTGATTTAATGAATTTAATCATTGCTGCTGTTAATTAATTTTAGACTGAGTATAACCTGGGTGGAGGCAATGATTTGGGGACTGCAGATGCTTTATTTATAGTATAGTAGCTGTCTGATTATTGGGAGTGGAAAAAGAAGTTCAGTGTTTTAATTATTAAATGAGCTGATTAAGAAGACCACTAGTTTTATTAGTCTTATGAAGGAGGAGAGACTTGGAGAGGGGTATGCTTACTTTACTAATCAGCTGAAAGTAAAGTTTTTTTTATTATCTATAAATCGGCTAAAATATCTGATGCTGATTTCAGAGAATGCTCCAGTGTCAAATTAATTGATTAGATGTTTTTCTCCAAACATTTTCTTTCCTAGATTAATTTTTTTTATTGCAAAGTGAAGAAAATGCCTGTTTTACTCCTGTTGACACGTCCTGTTCTTCTACATTAGATCACAGATCAGTTTCCATACTTGTATACTAGGGATGTAAGAAAGTATTGATATAGCAAGATATTATGATATATTATCCAACGATATATCAATATTCGAAAGCTGTCTATCGAAACCATCGATATGACAATATATCGTGATATATTACGCAGTGATAATACATGGATATTTAAAAGCTGTGTATCTGATTTTTGGAAGAATTTGCATACAAACTTTTGTGTATTTTCTTTTCTTTTGGTGCAATTCAAACGGCGTGCAATGGCTTTGTTTACACCTAGGTACTTCATGTTACACGTTATTCATCAGTTTGGATGGTTTACTGAATATTCCTACTATAAATTCAGTCTAAAAAATTGCTAATAACTAGGGATGCACCGATCAGGTTTTTTGCTGCCGATCACCGATACCGATATCATAGAATGCTGATCGCCGATACCGATCACCGATACCGATCACGTGGATTGGCCAGAAATTTTCTACAACATTATAATGAGTGCTACAAACTACATAATCTGGGAATAAAGGAAATGTAACCTAATCTAAAATGGTCTGTAGGTTGTCACGGTGTGAAAATTTAACCTCACGGTTATTGTGACCAAAATTACCACAGTTTTCGGTATTATCGCGGTATTTTTTTTAAACGTGCTACATTTTCACACAATTAAATAAACCCTGTATGTCAGGAAATATTGTCCTCAGTTTGTGTCTAAATTTAGCCTAAAATGTGTTATTTTGTAATTATGTTGTTTATTTGTTTACATTTTTCCCCTTTAGTCTTTAAAATACCAATATTTGCCCATAACTTTGTATTTTATGTCTGTTTGATGTCATCATTTAAAAATATTAGATCAGATGATACTCAGTACTCAAGTAGCCTTCTAATCAGATACTTTTTTTTTTTACCCTTACTTGAGCAATCCGTATTTCAGGAAAATATTGTCCTCGGTTTGTGTCCTTCCAGTGAGCTTTGCAGATGTGGGAAAATGACATCAGGCAGTAATCATTGTTAAATTCATAATTATTCTCGGAGAGAGACCAACTCTTATCTGCCCCTGGGAGCCCCGTAATGCATAGCGTCATTTCAACATGGGGGGTGTCCGCGACACCGTTTATATGCAGGTAGCGGCGCTGCGGCTGCTTTATATAGCGACTCATTGCATTCTCCCTCAACCCAAATCCTCGGATCACGCATTTGAGCTAAAACGTTAATGTTAACTTGCCTTGCGTTGACTGTAGAGTTGTGGGTGATGGTCACGCAGATGTGTCATGAGATAAGAAGCGTTGCTGCCTTTCACAGACACTTTTTCTGCTCGTGCTGCAAACAGGATAGCCGCCCGTCTTCTATAAACTCCCTCGGCATTCTTCAAATATCTAAAATATGCCCGTACTTCCGACTTTGTCTTCTTTGAGGGATAATAAATGTCCTCCTGAGCGCTGCCGTCTCCTCCTTTGACCATTATTTCAGCTTTAGCTTCAAGAAAGTTTTGTTGTAAACAAAGCGTGTATGTGCCGCCGGCAACTTCTGCAGATGATACGGTGGCTGGTAAGGGTCACCGAGCCTACACCGCAGCCACGGTAAACCCACCAAGATAATATAGTTTTTTTAAAAACAAGACGGTTATTATTGTCAACTTTTTTTTTTTTTTTTTTACCGGGGTTTAGCGCTACACTGGTTACCGTGACAACCCTACCTGATCGGTTTGCTTTGATCTATTTTGAAAATTCCGATCAAAACCGATAGGGGCGCTATCGGCCGATTACGATCAAATGCCGATCCATCGGTGCATCCCTACTAATAACATCTTACTGAATGTATGACAATATATCGTGATTAGGGCTGCAGCTATCAAATATTTTAGTATTCAAGTATTCTATCGAATCCTCCATCGATTAATCGAGTATTCTATTTGACAACGTTTCAAGTGAAATGAGATTGTGGTCTGCTGCTAAAAATGTGAAAATCAAACAGCAAAATTATAAAAGGCTCAATAATAAATATAAAATTGGTTTTGTCTAGTTCCCTCTTTCTCAGCTGATGTTTGGAGTTAATACATTCATTCACATTTTAGGTTTGTATTAATATCACTCATCCTAGTCAAAATATGTCTAAACATGTCAGTAGAATTTATTTATTTCATTATCATGTTCAGTAGTAAGCTACTGGAAATGCTAATAACATTAAATTTCTCCTGGTGACAGTGCACTTGTAGTATATTATATCACGTACAGGTTGGCAACATAATTTATTTTAAATTGTAATCAAATGTCAAATGGTTAGTGAATTACATGCTACAACAGCTTGCCATAGACTTCTGCGGTGGATGGAGCAGGCTCGTAGCAACAACCAGATGGTAGCTGCAGCGGCTCTGCCCCACACCGCTGCAGACATCCACGTATAAAAAGGATGGTGGGGATTTTTCTTCCGCCTGTAGAGTTAAGTCGTTCACAACCATCATGTTTTTTCTGAAACACACTTGCTTGTGAGAATGCTTCCTGCTAGCTTAGCATTAACAATTCTGCTCGTAGTTTAACTCTCGATCCCAAACTGTTTCTGCCTTTTACAATGGTTTCTGTCTTTCCTGGTTTCTCTATTTTCCTCCACAGCACCTAGATCACCATGTAGTGCACCAGTAAAATGTGTTCAGACTGTGTAGTGTATATGTAACAAAGCTTCTAATCAGTAAATAATGAATCGAGGAATTGAATGAATCAAATAAATCACTGATTTGTTTCAGCTCTAATCACGATGCATTGTATCGCCTCCCCTATATCGTGATAACACATCGCATCGCCAGAATTTCACTAATACACATCCCTGTTGTATACGTATCACCTTAACACCAACATGGAAAAGTCTACTGTCAGATTTACACGTGATGAAAACCACAGGAACTTATCGAGCACAGATTTCTTTCTAGGAAACTTTTACAATTTTTATTCAGTTCTGAGTATTTGAGTAACTCAAAGGCATGTTTTAGGTTCAGGCATGAGCTGTGATTGTGAATTAAGTACAAACCCAGAAGAGTGGCATCTATTTATGAATGTTATCAGAAATAAAACGTTCTGTGCCATCATTAGTTGTGATGAGCTCTGAGTGACCCCAGAGACCTGTGAGAAAAGGAAATGCTCTACATGAAAAACAACCTCCATGTTTTATCTATGACACGTTCTATGTACATGAAGTCTTACAGATTTTGAAGTAGAATAATGAGTTAGTTTAATATTTATTTAAATATTTTTCTGTTGTCAGTCTGTCATTGGAAGTTGTTAACCTTCAGCTATTTGTCCTGAGCAAGCACACCTGGTTCTCTGTTCCAGGCGGGCTATCCGTGCCCAGACCAGCCTGCGCTCAGTCACAACGAGTTGGTCCTCACGTCAGACAACATCATGAAGAGAACCGACTTCTTATGCTGCAGAGACAACTTTTTAGAGGTAACACTGTTCTTGCAGCTGGACGTCGATACTATCCAAGTTTTTGTTCTAAAAGGAACACTGGTGTTTAAACTTGTTTTTAACGGTGTTTACAAACAGTTTTTCTCTCTGTAAGCCTCAGGACTCACCAATGATGGTGTTTCATCCTTAAAATTAGAGAAAAAGTAAAAAAAAAGTTGCAAAACTCTCTCTCTCATACCATAATTTCACATTTGCAATTTGACCGTTATTCAGGCTGTAACTTGGGTATTTTGAAACAGAAACATCAGAGTTCAACTAACATTTTACTCAGCGAAGGCAAACTTTTCCGTTTTAGGCCAAGCAACAACAAACAATCTATAACTTACAGTAAGTTAACGAGATGTCAAGTCCAAAAGGAATCCAATTAAAAGACCAAACTGTCTTTCATTACTGACCGTCTGCTGCAGCCTCCACTCTTTGATTCAAAGGTGACGTCTCTTGTTAGAGGCCCCAAACAAAGGAGCAGAATTCCTAATGAGATCAGACTGCTAACACCTTTAGTTTCTCCAGTCATCCCTCAAAGCATTCTGTCATAAATCTGAGATATTTCAGCCTTTTCGTCTGTTTTTTGATCTTTTCCGTTTCTTCATCTTGGCTGCCGAAATTTTTTTTCTTTGTTTCGATCAAATTTGTTGTACTCTTTGCTTAGTGTTCGCTCCAAACCGGAACAAAATAATACAGTTTAGGGATGATGTCAGCCAAAAACAATCATGTCAGAGCTGTGAGTGTGACACAAGGCTTTACTCCAACATCTCTGTTTAGTTCATTGATAAATAATAAATTGTTCTGATGAAGAAAGGACTCACAACTAGCAATGGCATCTTAGGACAAGACTAAAATTGAGTGGAATTGTTGTGCTTTTAATAACTGAATAAACGCGGAAAACGAGCCAGCTGTACACGTTGTAGTGCTAAATAGCTTAATGATTCACCAGAAGCCATAATGTAAATCTGAACGTTTGAAGATTGACTGAATTTTCTTATTGCTTAGTTACACATGAAAGTGCCACAGGAGTCCCAGTTATTCTGCTTCTACAAATCAATTTGTATTGTTTTTATGTACGTGGGTAAAAAACTATTAAAAACAGGTTGGAAGCCTTTAAAAGGTGAATGTATGAAGCTATTGCTGGACTTTAAACTTTGCATTTCTGGTAACTAATTAGAATTTAGTCATTGATGCAGAGATGAAATATTCACCTCCTGTAGTGCAAACACAGCGTTTAATCCCAAAGAACACACCATTATTTATGTAGTTACTTTTCTTTTAGCTTTTTTCATGCTTGCTAGAGAAAGTGACTTTTTTAGTGTTTGATTTAAATTCGAAGCAGAGACCAAGAACCAGTTGTCATGCAGCTAGTAGGTGTATGTTTGTTATAATACATTTAAACCTTTCCCTCCCCTTGTGAAGGAATTAACTGAGACTGGCTCAGAGAAGTACCTGGAGGTACAGTGACCCGAGCATGCAGGATTGTTTCACTAAATCCGGAATGGTGTGGCAACAATACTTGGAGCTTATTATGCATTCAAATAACCCTGTGACACTTAAAACTTATGGTTGTTCAAGTTTAACGTAAAAATGTTACATTTCTATCTTTTGTTTGTGATTTGTAACAGTTGCATGTGATCATGTTGGAAACATTATGCCTTCACTTTGTGCAGAAGGCTTTTAGAGAAAGTCTGCATTTGGGTTCCTCCTTAAATTCTCCTTTCTCAACTTTAGGAAATAAAGAAGTTTGTGAAGAGTGTGTCAGAACGAATCAAGAAGACCAGAGAAAAGTACGGCATTAACGACAAGGGCACGAGTGAGGTAGGAAATGTATTGTGTACTAATGAATTGAATAATAGACTTTATTGATCCCACAATGGGGACATTTTAAAGGGCTCGTCAAGCCTGCGTCAGAGTCCTTCTCCACCCACATATCAATTTTGAAAAATGCAACATTTTTAGGCGTTGCCTGGTGGACCGAGAGGGCAGAGCCGAAGCAGTGACAAAGACGGATGGGTAACAGGACGAAGCTAGCTTTATTCACTCTGAGCAGTCATTCGAAGTGGAGGACTTTTCTCCCCCTCCTTACCCAGACGATTGAGAAGAAAGGGACAAAGTCTGCACAGCTAAACAAAACAACGGAAGTTTCGATTTCCCTTAATTCAATAATGATTAATGGGCTCGACACACGGGAGGCGACAAACGACCGCGATCAGCGAAATTCGCCAGCGGCAAGGCCATTGACGCGTTCTGTTCCATGGCGAAATCGAAACTTCCGTTGTATTGTGTTACAAGCTATCTTCCCAAACTAGCTGCCTCTTTAACAGATGTCTCAGGGTTGACTTGTATTTCTATTTATGCGTGGGCGTGATATTCAGTCGCTCTCTATGACTGCCTGCACACCATAGGAGCTGATCAGCGATCACCATTAACCTAGACTTTGATCCCGGCAAACACACTGCTTGCAGCTCAAAGGAAGACTCGGTTCAAACCCAAACACATCTTAGTCACCTGCAGCTCATGTATTGCTCAGGTTAATGACTCTAATCTGACTCGAGTAAACCTCTTGGAGTGGGATAACAAGTAACCAGCATCTCACCTTTCGGTTACACAACACCAACGGAGACCCCAGGCACCGAAAATCCTGAAAAGTTTCTTACAATAAGAAACCAAGGTTTTTATTTAATAGGATGAAAAAAGATTAATCCAGACAGAATCACCCCGACGCAGCGGGTCAGACAAAAACACCGAGCTCCACCGAACTCGTACAGAACTCAGAACTCCCAACTTCTCCTGGGCCCCCCTTTTTATTCCTTCACTTCCCCCTCCTTCTGGTCTCCTCTTCGTCTCCACGACAACTCCCGCTTCAGGAAACACTCTGTCGGCCTTTGTGACTCCTCCCAGCGTCTCTTGCTTGGTGTCCTTCCGGCATTACCTCATTCCTTTCTTCTGGTCATCAGTCAAGGAGGGAGAGGGTACCCCCTTCCTTCTCTTCTCCACTCCAGCGGTCTGCTTTAAGCCAATCATAAACATATCCCAGATGCAGCGTCTACCCTGAATATTTATTGCATACTGGACTAACCCCACAGAGGTCAGTAAAAGGCTAAAGCTACAACATATATTCACCAAAAACAGCAGAGTAGTGAAGCACATCCATTATTTACGACATTGGGAGATCAGGAGTCAAATCACACACACACATTCACACACACAGACCTCTCTCTGACCTCGCAGCCTGGTTTTATTAACACACAGATTGAGAGGTAATCCAGAACTGCTTTTGTTTAATACATGGGTCTGGAGTAATCGAAAATCTTTGTTCAACATTTTGTTTGGCTGTGTCAGGTTGGAGGGAATTAAGGTTATTTAAGCAGTTCAGAGTTAATAAAGCGGTAGATATGATGTTTCACAAGGTGCTGCTAGAGTTATGTGAAATCTTACTTCTGATTTTACTATATAAAACACAATAATAATCAACTTCTCCTCCATGTTTGCTCGGAGATGTACGGAGCATCCTGTCTGCTCATTGGTCAGTGAATGAAACCTCCGTTGATTGGTCCTCGTCCGAGCAACAGCGATGAAAAGTTGAAAATATTTCAACTTTCTGGGATTGCGTCGCTGGGTCGCCTGTGCACGACACGTGCACGAGCGCAACATTTCACACGCACGTTTTTCGCATTTTGCTTAGTAGGAGGGAGACCCGCGATTATCGCTTTGTCTCGCATGTCTCATTGAAAATGAATGGAGGAGAGGCGATGTCGCCTCCCGTGTGTCGAGCCCATTATTGTCCAGCCCTACTCACCTCTCCAATCGGCTGGAACCGGAACCAATATTACCTGAGTAAACGAGAGAACGCTAAACGCCAGTTGCAGTTTTCTGAGTCCAAACATTTTTTGTTGTCTGTGACTTAGTGTATTGTTTTTCTTTTGGGACTCTGGTAGTTTGTCCTAAGTTTAAAGAAAGACCTGTAAGAGGCTTTCCACCACTGATTGCTCCTCTCTGCTCAGTCTTTGTCGTACTATGAGATCATCAGAGTCTGTCCGCCTGTTTGAAGCAGCCGGCTGTTTTTCTTTCTCTGATATTGTTGATCGGAGAACCTCACACCAGTGGTGTTCTGACTCTAAATACATGAGTGTGTAATGAGTGGATGACCCAGGACAGTGCGGAGGTTGCGACGGTTCAGTGAAACCAACAACCGGGTGGTCCAGTAGTTGCTTTCGTCCGAGCTGTGTTATTAACTGAGGCTTTTAGATAAATGCAAGCAAACCACTTACATTTTGTCTTTATTCTATATTATACTATGTTGGAATGCTTTTAAGAGGCATGAACAAAATCTAATCAAATCACATTTATTTGTGTAGCACATTTAAGTGCAACAATGTTGCCCAAAGTGTTGAACATAGACATATAAAAACATAAAAAAATTATTAACAGTCAACTTAAGGCACAATAAAACATAAAAATAATGCATAAAAAATCTGACATAAGAAATGATGAAAAACAGGACTAGCAAGTCAACTAGGAAGAGTAAAAGCTGTTTTAAGTTAGCTTGTTTTGCAGATTTTTCCTTGTAGCTTTAACACTGTCACTCGTTAATATGAATTCATGCCTGAACAACAATTGAGTTTTGTAGATCGTTTCCCAGCAGATTGAGTAATTGTGTTTAATAAGAGATTCTAATTCTCCTCCCTCACCTTAGAATTAAGCAGCCTTATCGCCAAGCCTTGTCTTAAGATAATAAGCTAAGTTGAATTTCTCTTTGTTGCGTCGTTTTGCAGCCAAAGGTTCTGTATCAGCTGGACCGCATTACTCCAACTCAGCTGGAGAAGTTCCTTGAAACCTGCAGAGATAAATACATGAGGTATAGAGATTCCACTTTGCTACAGAAGCTTTTACAAACTGTTAAAGCTTGTTTTACTTTACTTTTTAATGTTGCTCTCCTTTCTGTGCAGTGACGGTTTTGTTCTTATGTGTTTTTCTGTTCAGAGCCCAGATGGAGCCGGGCTCAGCAGTAGGTGCTTTGTGTGCTCAGAGCATCGGAGAGCCTGGCACTCAGATGACTCTGAAAACTTTTCACTTTGCTGGCGTGGCATCAATGAACATCACGCTAGGAGTGCCTCGCATCAAGGAGATCATTAATGCCTCCAAGAACATAAGGTATGGAAAACTCTTCTTTGTGTTTTGGATAAAGTAATTTATTACAGCCAAATGGTGCTGAAATGTTCTGACGACCTCACTACGAATTTCACCAGCTGAGCTTAGCATCTCTACCAAAGCCTAAACAATTTTCATTCTCGCTGTCCTTCTCTCAGCTGAGTCTGTGACTTACAAACTGAATGAATATATTTAGCTATATGGGCCACTGTAATGAACGTGTCTTTAATTAGTTTTGAATAAGCTTCTGAGAGCCTTCTGCTTCCCACTCAGCACCCCTATAATCTCAGCTCATTTGGACGTCGAAGATGACGCCGACTTTGCGAGGCTGGTGAAGGGAAGAATTGAGAAAACTCTTCTTGGAGAGGTAAACCTGCTTTGTTCACTAAGTGAAAGACATCAGGGGTGTTTTCAAAGCAATCCCTGTAAGAGATATTTCTGTTAAAAGGCCAACTTATCTATTTGTAACAGATTTCAGAGTACATCGAGGAGGTGTTTCTTCCAGATGACTGCTACATCCTTGTAAAACTCTCACTGGAGAGAATCCGGCTGCTCCGATTAGAGGTAACCCTCTTTTTTACATTTTGTACCAACACTCCTTAAATATTAACTATGCATTTGTGTATGGTTTTTGTTGAATAAAATGATTGCATGTTTGCTGAGATGTCTGCCGAATGCTGGAATAACTGGCACGAAAAAAAAAATTCTGTCTTTGAGAGATTAGTTGCAAACCCCATTTTTTCCCCGTGATGTTTTGAGGAGCATTTAAAGCTTTAAATGTGGGGGGGTAAGATTTCAAAATCAATACAGAAACTAACAGGGAGCTGGCATGGGGAGGCATGCCTGCAGAAAGTGTTTTCATGCTTTTTAGTCGGGGTAATGAGTCTAACTGCAGAAATTTAAGCCACATGGAGGCAACAGGGAAGCTCTGAATTATACCTGCACCACAGCAAACAATATGGGAGTCATTAAAAGCAAAAGGTGGGAAAGGCTGCAAGAGCTAGGTTGGATGTGGGATTAAAACTTCAAACAATAGGGTCATAAAAAGACTGGTGTGTTTTGGGCTTGTGGTTGTTTTCTAGACGGGAACTGTGAGAAATGAACCAGATTTGCTGAATTTAATGACCAAAGATCACAAAAGCTCCAAGTCCATTTTGTTTTATTTCAGGAATTGAACCAAACAAAATCTACTCAAAACTATATCAAACATACATGTTGATTACAAGAAAAGGCACAAGTTGTTAGCAATGCTCAGTTGATTTTAAATAGGCATTGACCCCTGCTTTTCCTACGATTATTACTACGTCCATCAGTGCTAACAGCTGACTGGAAATTCAAAGCAAAGAAAGAAAATAATAGATGCCCATTTATTTTTTTAAATACAAAAGGAGCATAGCCTGATTAATATAACCTTATCTTGGAGAACGATCCATTTGACATGTATTGAGAGTCTGTATACTCTCATGATAGATTTCACAGGTAAATTATTCATCCCAGTGAGTCTCTGCTCACCAAACAGTGCGGCACGCACATCCTGTTGATTGCTTCGAGCAGCAGCAGCTCCAGCGGTGTGCTCGAACACTGAATTAACCCTTGGGTTACTCATCAGCGCTGTTGTCTTTCAGGTGAACGCAGAAACGGTGCGCTACTCAATATGCATGTCGAAACTGCGAGTGAAGCCCAAAGACATCGCTGTTCACGGTGAGGCGGTGGTCTGCGTGTCTCCTCGAGAAAACAGCAAGAGCTCCATGTACTACGTGCTGCAGTCGTTAAAAGAAGAGCTCCCTAAGGTGAGAGGCAACTTCTGAAAGGGAACTCCTCAGAGAAAACACTCATTTTCATTTACCTTTACTAAATAGTCGAATTAGTTGGATACTACTTTTTTAGCCCAACTTTTGAGTTGAAATTTGGTAAAAGTGTAGAGCCAACAGTTTATCGCCCTTTTGATTGCTGTTGGCTCTGCACCAGCTCCAGGAACTGTAGTGAAGCTAAAGGTTAAAATCAGCTTGATAACTTTGCCTGCGTGTTCTTTAGTGATAAACAGCTTGTGCTGAAGAGTTTTTGGTGCTGAAAGGTGCTCCCTGCTGCTGACTGCAGCACTAACACAATGTCTAAAAGCTGAAAAGCTAGATGTCACTATGAGGTTATTTTCTAAAGCCTTTGTGGGATTCTTATAAAGTGACACCTCTCACATTTCACACAGCTCTTTATTTTTCAAAGTATTGATTAATGCGTCTTCAAAAAGGACAAAGTGTTGCTGAGAATTCGATCATCAGCATTCATCCTTCTGTTAGAGGACAAGTGTTTGCTGTCTGCTGAAAAAAACGCAGCTCACTTGCTAAATGACCGATTGATTACATACGAAAGATGACTTGTGTTAATTTAACTGTTGTTCTTTGTTACCTGAAAGGTGGTGGTCCAGGGAATACCTGAGGTCGCGCGGGCCGTCATTCACATAGACGAGCAGAGCGGGAAGAACAAGTACAAACTCCTGGTGGAGGGAGACAACCTGAGAGCTGTCATGGCAACGCACGGGGTCAACGGTAGTAGGACCACTTCCAACAACACATACGAGGTACTAGTCAAAGCTCATTTAATTGGTTTATTTTGATCATTCATCGTTTGTGGTCATTTAATTGTACAAGCTGGCTGTTACGACCCCGGAGTCTAGGGTTCCTGGGACAACATTGAGGACGTGTGATAAAGGTTAACAAAGGTTTATTTTTTGGTGTCACCCTTAACTGAGTTCTGGCTCTTTATTTTCCTTCTGTGCTAAGGTCAAAACAAGACAAAAAGGAATACAAATAGGTCTCAGTTAAACAGGCTGAACAGGCTCTCAAAGTGTAACACGGAATACTACAGGTATTCTCATCACAGTGTCTTTAACACATACTGACAAATAACAAACTCATAAGAGGTTTTAAAGCTTATCGCGGATTCAGCAGGCCGGATAAAAGGCAGCTTGGGTTTGTTGCTCTCTGAGGATCTGCTTCAAAAGGTCCTTTATTCTCTGCTGTCGTCTTCCAGCTGCTGACGGTAGCTCAGCGCAGCTGGGGATGCAGGGCAGTGCCAGACAAAGCAGGAAACAGCGGGTGCAGCCTGCAGGGCATGGGGCTGAACGGACAGCTCCTCTGAAAGTCTCCTCGGGTGCAGCACAATGATGAATCACAAGAACCGGGGAGGGAAAATGGGAACACACAAGCAACTGTGGCTGTAGCACTCCCTTCCTTAAATAGCAAGTCACCCCCTACAATTTACTAACTCCACTCCCACTTCATGTTTGAAAAATGCAACAAATGCTGTTGCCTGGCAGACCGAGAGGGTGGAGCCGCTAACAAATACACACACACTCAGGCTCACAATGGCATTGTGACATCCTAATGTACCAGCTAACATCATAACATACCTCTTAGCCAATAGCGGTGGCAGATTTAAATTCAGATACAGTGCAGAATTTTTCCCTGACGACGGCGCAACACTGACAGTTTTAGGCAGCATATTTAAATTTTAGCTAAGATGCACTGAAGTGCCAAATTGACTACACGTGTCTGCAGCCCAATTAGACACTCGTTTATATAGTTTATCAGCAAAAAAAAAAGTTGATTTGGGGGTGACTTGCTCTTTAAGATTTAAGTTCTAAAATTAAAGTCCCTCAGCTGTGAGACACATTCAAATCAGTTGTATCTCATTCTCTCGGTAGTGCAATACCCAAACTTTTTTCTTAGCCTTTTCAGTGCTAGTGTTGACTATGACTGACACACGAGGGATTCATTTTTAAAATAACAGAAATAAGGTCTCATCACTAATTAAGGCTTAATTCCTTTTTTTCTTCTTCTTCTCCTTTTCCACTTACTTACTTCGGGTCTTGGCAACCCATTAACAAAGCCAGACAGCTCTTTACAGACCTCAGCAGCGCATGTGTCTGATACAAAATCCCTAGCAGTTTGTACTTCATTAGGCGGAGGACTTAACATCTTGGGACTTGGAACCACGAGTCATCCAGCGATGTTATTTCCCATGAAGAGAATGATGCCACCTACGGGTAGGGAGCGACATACAGAAATGGCAAAACATCCTGTGAGGATGATCAGAGAACACACAATGAACAGGTCTTGAAGGGTGAGGGTTGCAATCCCTTTGACAGTCACATTAAATCCACTATCACTTTTTCCAAAAAGAGGTAATGCAGTACTTAGGATGAGAGAATGAGATGGTCCAGTGTCCCTAAGGGTTTTTATCTGTACAGGCTGTGTATCAGCAGACAGTGAATCAGTGAAACTGAACCAGAAAATAGAAAAGGGCTGAAACCGGCTTCTACATCCTTTCCATGCTCTGCTATTTTAATATTGGGTGAGCTTGTTATAAAACCAACACAGTTTCGCTGTTGTATTTTTTTATTCAACGCCTGAAGAGTGGGGCGGTCCTTTTTGACATGGCAAGGATTATAGCAATAAAAGCACAAAAAGATACCAACAAGGGTGACATTTGGTCTTTCTGACGCAGCAGGCGGTGTTTCTCTCAATCGAAGTACGTTCTGTGAGTTAACACAAACTCATCAGCAAGGTGAGCCGCTGCAGACATTGACGTCATCTTTTGCTCATTTAAATATTGAACCACTCTTATCAGGAACACAGCGTTTAAACTCCTCAAGGAGCAGAAGCTCACGTAAGGCAGATAAATCTGACACCTTGGAGGAAGTACACCACTTATCAAGCAAAACACTTTTTCTCTGGCAAATTCTACATAAATCTGCGGAGGACTTTAACTGCACAGTCTGAATCGTTGACGGTATGCTTCCATCACCAACTCATAAGCTTGTAAAACAGCGGCCTAACTTTTTCATAAATCATGCTACCAGCCACAGTGAGAGCGGCTACAACCTCAGATGCTTTACCTATGAACTTGCACTGCGCTGTTGCAATGCGCTCACATGCATAGAAGTAGCAGTCGACCTCAGATTCCCTGAAAACAGGCATCAACGCCATAGTTACTGATGTTAAGAGTCTGTCGGTGTGGAACTCACCGGGGAAGGCTTTGTTTCAGCTTTCACTGCCTTGTGTTCGAGTTTAAGTTTGCGTATCCGCATAGCGGTCTCAGCTTCCAGTTCCAGCTTTCTCATTTCAAATTCCCACTTTCTGAGCTGGGCCCTATCCTCGGCCTCCAAACGTTGTTCAACTCAGCCTGAATTTGGCCGGAGTCGAGCCCTCCTCAGGCTCAGTGGTGCCAGTGTCTCCAGCAGCTGTAGCCATTCTGTCATCAGTAGCAGCAAGGATGACAGGGGCCAGGGTCACCAGGAGGATTCAGCAGGCGCACAGGCCTCCGCAAACGGGGCAACCTGTTGCAGTGAGAGCAGTCTCACTTCCTCCAAGCCGCGTATAACCAGATCCTGCAGATCTGTCTTCAGCATCTAGCTGTCCACCAGAAATCCAAAGGCCACTTCCAGCAAGTCATGCCTGCGACAGGTACTAATCAGTTTACGGGGTGGGGCCTCCACAAACTGCTCTAAACCAACGCCATGAGAAAGCTTTGAAAAACACAAAAGATCACATGTCAAATAAGAATAGGAGGCATTTTTGTAGCTGTGGTGCTGCGCCACCGTTGAAATTCCAGCCTGTAAAGGGAGAGGCCTGAAGTAGGAAAAAGAGGAACAGAAAACACAAGTGGCTGTGGCCGTAACACCGGCCAAAACTGTGTGTTTAAGCATTTGCCTAATTATTTGAAAGAATGTTTAAAGTACATAAATCATTGTGAAATGAAGAAAATTAGAAAGTATAAGTGCCGTTTCCCAATTTTGAATACACATAAAATATATTAAGAGACAGATGCCCTGTCACAAATTATCTCACTATTGTTGCTTTTTGTGTTATTTAAATATCATTTTTAATGTAAGCAATTCGTGTTTTTAATTCTCCTCTAACTGGAGATATGGCTCTTTAGTTTTTTGTACCTTGAAATATTTCAGAGAACTTACATTAACTTTGAACCTCTTTAGAATTAGAATTTGAAACCTAATTTGAGCAGCGTGAAAGTCCAATAATTGCTTAAACATTAAAGCATTAACATTAATGATGAAGTTATTAGCTGCACAGTAATCTGTTTTAAAATCAGATCCCTCAGCAGTGTGGTGAAGACTCAACTTATTTCAGTCCCTACATAGATGTGACTTCTAAAACGAAACTACAATTACTGATTCGAAGTTGTAATATTTTTAAGAACTGACACTAACCTGAAATAAATAGCTGAATTAAATATTCATATTTTTTATACCAGGCCTGTGTCTCCTTTCCAAGCAGAGTTGGCAACTGTATGAATGTGTGATAATGACTTCTCCATGTGCACACTGAACTGTTTTCTCCTGACTTGGGTTAATTAAATCAGAGCAGTGACTTTGTTAACGGAGCTCCTGTCCATAACCCCGTCACGTAGTTACAGTTAACAAAAATCAAAGAGATGAACAGCATCTTCTGATTACCCTTTCTCAGATAAAGTCATACTAAATGAGAACCAAAAGAAGCAGCTTGCTAATGTCCTTGTTGAGTCATGAAGACATACGTACACCTTAGGTACTCCAATGTCCCTCAAATACCCTGCAGCATGGTGGATGTACTTGTTGGATGTTCTGCTTCAGTCAGTAAAATGACACAGTGCTACAGGTGAAACGACGAGATAACAGTAACGCTCTTTATTTTAAAGGACATAAATGAAATCAAGGCAAGCATGACAGTCTGACGGGGAGCAGTAATGTGCACATGAGTCACCATCTGATGCTCTGTATATAAATAGAATATCACACGCACTTAATTTAAACCCCATATTAAGACTAGTCAGAATATGGAGATTTCAATTGTTAATTTGAACCCTTATTTAATCTTTTGGGACTATTGATGAGTTAGGGTTAGAGTAGTTTGATGTGCCTGCACAACCAGTTCATGATAAATGACCTGCACTTGTAGAGCGCCTTTCAGAGTCAGAGGACTCCAGAGCAATTTACACTACAGTGTCTCTTTCATCCATTCACACACCCATTCACACACTGGTGGGGACGAGCTACGATGTTGCCACAGCTGCCGTGGGGCGCACTGACAGAGGCGAAGCTGCCGAGCACAGGCGCCACCGGTCCCTCCGACCACCACCACTACATAAATTAAAACGTAACTAACACACGTGACAAAAAAGGGATGATATTAGTTTAGCTAGTTTTTAAGGCCACTCATGCATGTCGCAATACATTTAGAGAAGTCAAATAGAGCTGAGAAAAGAATTTTTCTTCTGCTTTTGGTTTTTAGTCACACATATATACACATACGTACATACCAAAGGGCCATTTTGGTCTGGATTTTGTGACTAGACAGAAGTGCCAAAAATGCTTTGCTCCCCTCGTCCGCTAGGGGCAGGCGTCAGAAGTGTCCCATTCAAGTGCCTCATTGAATCCCATTTTAAAAATGGCAACTTCACCGTGGAAATAAACATGTTTACTGACTAGTTTAAAAAACACAAGTTTAATAGATATAGTTTACAGTCATGACAACGTTGAGGAGGGTGAAGCTTTTTGTAACCTTTCTGTTTAGGTGTAATTAAATACTTTAATTTATGAATAATTAACAGGTAGCATGAGCGTAAGAGCTAAAATGAAAATACTCGTGAATTAAATCGCAATTGCAATATTGAAGAAAAAATCACAATTGGATAATTTTCCTTAATCGTTCAGCCCTAGTTTTCCTCAAAGATTGCCCTGTATTTTGCTCCATCCAGCTTCCCACTAACTCTGACCAGCTTCCTTGTCCCTGCTGAAGTAAAACACTCCCACTGCATGACGCTGCTACCACCATAGGGTTGGGCAATAAATCTTAAATTTATCATTATTGAAATTTCTGACTTGTGATAATTTTCCCCATGTCAATAGATTTGATAATAAAAAGATGTGTAGGTTGTCAACATTCATGTCCCTTTAAGAAGCTGTACCGCCTTGAGTCACGTAAAAATGTGACTCAACATAATACACATTACAGCCCCATTTGTTTCTGCGCATACCTGTAGTTATCTTCCATTTATTGTTATCGAGGTAAATTCCTCAATATATCATGATATTAATTCTAGGCCATATCGCCCAGCCCTATACCACCGTGTTTCACAGATGGTATGTTCATTGTGATGTGAAGTATCACTTTATCACTATTTAGCACTTTACATTTAGGCCCTAAAGTGAAACTGTGTCTTCTGCATGACTCTTGGAAAACAAACAGGGCTTTTTATGTCAACGATTGCTTTTTTTTTTTTCCTAACCTTTCTGGCGAGTTCCTCGGTTTTCATAGTGCTGTTTGTACAAAAATGTTCTCTTATAAACTACTGAGGCCTTCGCAGAACAAGTGTATTCATAATGAGACTAAATTACACACTGGTGAACTCTATCATCTATGATGGCAAGTGATTGCACTGGATTTCATTTAGGGCGTTCAGAGCACAGGGGGGCAGAATACAAATGCACCGCACACATTTCATATTTTTATTGGCTTAAAATTTTGAAACCTATTCCACTTCACATATATGTGTCACTTTGTGTTGGTCTACCATAGACAAACTCAATTAAACATTTAAGCTTTTGATTGTAAGGTGTTGAATGGTTCAAGGGGTTTGAGTATTTTTGTAAGACATTGAACTCTGTGGTGACATGAAACTGATTGTGAGAAACAACACACTTGTTTACACTTTCCCAGAGAGTTATACCAGTTGTTTTCTGACTAGCAAAGCAACATGCTATCCCTGGCTTATTAGTTATGAGAAATGAAGGTAACCGGTTAATCACAGTGGAGCTTTATGGTATTTTGTGCTTCATTAGGGTGAATCCACTCTCACAGAGCTCGTATTTCTATTTTCTCTGGCTGCAACCTGACAACAGAAGGGTTGTTCATGACCCATGCCTTCTGTCAGTAATTTACAGACAATAATAACCCACAGACAGCTAAAAGCGGGAGCCTTGTTGCTGTTGCTGCGCTGAGTATTCAGCCATGACTGTGAAAGTGGGCAGCCAATTACGTTTAAATCTTTCTTTCTTTCTTTCTTTCTAGTTGAGTGTTTACATTTAAACAGTAAGATCTCAGCAGGTGGTTTCTTACAGATGACGAGAAAACAAAAATAATATGCTCATCTGTGTAATAATCCAGGTTGAGAGGACTCTAGGCATTGAAGCTGCTAGGTCCACCATCATTAATGAGATCCAGTACACCATGGTGAACCACGGCATGAGCATCGACCGCCGACACGTCATGCTTCTTGCAGATCTCATGTCCTACAAGGTTAGAGACTTTCATCCTCGCGTCTCACAGATGTTATGTTATGAGTTTAACTTTGTAACACACTGTAATGTCTTGTCCATCAAGGGGGAAATCCTTGGAATCACCAGGTTTGGTTTAGCCAAAATGAAGGAGAGTGTCCTCATGTTGGCCTCGTTTGAGAAAACTGCTGATCATCTCTTTGACGCTGCCTACTTCGGACAGAAGGACTCCGTCTGCGGTAAACTTTGGCTTTGTGTCTTTTATGGCAGTGAGTTTTATGACTTTGCTAAGTTTGAATATTCTCTGTTTTCGTTTCAGGTGTGTCTGAATGTATCATTATGGGAATTCCCATGAATATTGGAACAGGACTGTTTAAACTCCTACACAAAGCCAACAAAGATCCTACTCCCGTTACGAGACCGCTGCTCTTTGACAATTCAGACTTTCATATACCTCTTGTCACATAGCATAAAGTAGAGCATGTTCACTGGCGTTTGTTAGTCATAGCCGAGTTCTTACAGACGGAAAGAAAAAGTGTTTTTCCTCTGAAAAGATTGTTTCCTTTTTTGATTCATGTTGGCAATACTACGATGGCTGTTTCATTTTACAAAGAAGGATTTGCTAACTGATGGCAAAGTTTTTATTTCAAGTTTGAGTCGTTTTGTGGCCTTTTACATGTTGTTAAACATTATTTCTGTTGCGACAAATCCCCATTCCCTAAGTTAAGGTGGAGAAAACTGAAATATTCATCACACAACTCAATTGTAAACATGATTGTTACCTCTTTAGTCATGAAGGGAGTGGGTTTTGAGTTCTGTTTGCAGAGTGAGATTTTTAAACCTTCAAAGCTTTATTTAGATCATTTTCAAACAACTAAACTGTTTGTGTAAGACTCAACACAGAAGAAACTAAAATAATTGAAGGGTTTAGATCTAATAAAACATTATCTTGTGTATTTGCTGAAATGTACATAATGTGACAAATAAAAAGGGATAAAGAAACAAATGTTTTGTTTTTGGTTCTGCATGTGGTTCTTGAAGTCTGAAGCGATCATCTTATTAACTTTGTTTGCTTTACTGTTGGTAAAATAGCTCTAACCACGTTATTTTAATTAGTACCTAAGGGCATTCTTGGCAGTTTTGGCTTGCTTTTAGCACCCCCTAGTGTCCGTTACGTAGAACCCAAAGCGAAACTTATTCCCTCGCTGTGTGTTTGCCTTTTTAACACCTTAATCTAACAGCCGAAATGTCTCCTCAGCCTTCAGTAGTGTCGACAGGAGTGCTTCATCACTAAATCAAACAAATCAGCTGTGTTCCTGATCTAAAGCATGCAGGAAAAGTGCTGGAAGCAGACTCCAGCTCCAGGCATGTCATCTCCACTTTACTAAGTCCAACAGGCAGCAGTCTGGATACTCTGAAGTTGCAAGTGTGTTATTCTGGCTACTGAGGGTGGTGAGGGTCTGAGTGACATTTCATTAACCCTGTAAAGCAGGGGTGTCAAACTCCACTCTTTGAGGGCCGTTATCCAGCATACTTTTGTTGTTTCCTTGTTCTAACAGTTGATTCACCTGTGCAGCAGCTCATCAAACTCCCCAGAAGCCTGTTAATCACCTGCTGATTGAAATCAGGTGTGTTGAAACAGGGAAAAATTAAAACGTGGATAGTGGCCCTCAAGGATTGGAGTTTGACACCTGTGCTGTAAAGGGTCATTTTAGCACACGATCACTCAAGAAAATGATTTTAAATATATGAAATGTTGCATAGTATGTCTTTAATAAATATTGTTAAAACGAAACCAGTGAATGTTTTGGTATTTTAGCTAAGAAACAAAGGACACCTGCGGAGCGCTTTGGCCCAGATTCATAAGTAACGTTGATTTAGCATTTATTAATAGTCAAAATCAGTAGTACAGTGAAATACGGTAGTTAAGCACTCAAGCAAAGTCAGAAAACACATCTGCTGTGATAAGTCAAAAATAAAGTAAGACCCTGCTAATTCTCATTCAGGATGCTTTCAAACTGAGTTTTTAAACCTGAAATAAAAACTGTTTATTTCCCACACTAATAAGTGCATCATGGCATTTGTATGTGCTGCTTGTTTTGTGCACCCCAGCCATGTCAGATGGCTGTCTCCTCTATCTTTATGTGAAGTCCCCTTGTTTCCCTGAAGTTACCCAACTGTAGTTTGACTGCCTCGGTGAAAATATAAGCATTTGCAGCTTCCCCTTTGAAATGCTGGATACAGACGAATCATGCTGCAATTGTTTAGCTTTCAGTGTTTGCTGTTTTATCTAAATACAACGCCAAAATACAGCCACATTTTCTGTATGATCCACTTGGATTAATTATACATCAAACTTATATAGTGCTTTTTAGGACACTCAAAGACGCTTGCATGCACTCTCACATTCACACACTGCCAGTGATGGTAAGCTATTTTGTAGCCACGGGCGGTCTGATAAGAGGCGAGGCTGTCATTTGGCGCCGTCGGCCCCTCTGACCACCCCAAGCACAGGCAAGCTGGGTGAAGTGTCTTGCCCAAGGTCACAATAGCAGAATATCCCTGGCAGGAGCTGGAATCAAGCCCATGACCGTCCGATCATGAGGCAACCCGCTCTACCTCCTGAGCTACTACACACTCAGATAGTGTGGCTGTTGGCCTTGTGTAGGCTTGTTACAACCCCCGCTAATGGAAGAAAACAAGAACCCATCATCTTAGGGGACTGCTGTGCCAGTGCAACCAGCTGATTGGCTGCTTCAGATGTTTCTGCCAACGCCCTTCTGCTTTATTATTTGTGTGGCTGTGTGCAGCCTGGGTTTTGAGTGGCTGCACCTGTGCAGCCAAAAAGGCTGCTAAGTGCAAGTTGGAGGGACTCGGCAGGATCAGTCGAGGCTGATCAGAGGGAGCACCTTTGGTAGCTCTTGCCTGTGTGGCATTTTTGGTGAGGCCTTTTAGAGGCTTGGTTTTAATTTAAAAAAAAATGCTCTTAAACATTAACCTTGTGTCCTGACCTCCTTTTGTTGCAGTCCCACGAGCCAGGCTGTAACAAGGCTTTAAAATGTACTTACCCCATTAACCCTATACATTAATTCAGTGCTGCTGTCTTATAGTGTTTGTCTTAATTGACCATCTGATTCATCCAGTTGCAGAAGCAAGTAGCATCATTCCAGCGGAAGCATTCAATGAAGTCAAGCAAAGTAGTGGATCTTTAATGCTTTTTGCAAAGGCTGGAGCGGAAACATCCATCTGTCCATGAACCTCTTCTCTTTATAGGGTCGTGGGGAACTGGTGCCTAACTCACTGTTGCCAACAGCAGCCCCTGATTGAAAACATTTAGATTCATTTTATTTATTTATTTTTCCTAAAAGTACAAATACATGTTCTAGATTTTTGGCCACCATCAAAGACCAACTGTATTGTATTTTACCATCAACTCTGTAAATCTGTGGAACTATGAGATTAACCAAAGGAAGGCTCAAATGGGTTGAGATCTGATGACTTAAAGTCAATGGTGTCCAATCCTGGCTCTTGAGTTAATTCCCAGCTGCTAAAATCTTCCTATCTGTAGTTGGATCTGTTATCCACTCTGCTGTGGTCTGCCGGGGTGCAGGCAGGTCTGACCAAGACGGGAAGAGACTGAACAAGCTAGTTCACAAAGCTAGCTTAAGCTGCCCACTGGATACAGTTGAGGAGACGTGAAAGGAGGGTGCTGGGGAAGATGACCACCATCTTCAAAACCCACTGTATTCCACTGTGGAGACCATGGACAGCTCCTTCAGAGGTAAACTCAGACATCCCAGATGGACCTACAGTACCGTAGGTCATTCATCCCTTCTGCTGTAAGAGTGTATAACTCCTGAGTTTATGTTGTACTTGCATTATCCTGTTACACAATAATATCAGTACATTACTCAGTATGTGTATGTGTTCAATACTATAGCAGAGTTACATTGCATGTCTGTGTCTTTTGCAGTATGCTTCATAGTTCTGGAATCCACATTTTTTTTCATTTTTATTCATGATTTTTAGTGGTTGAAGGTTAAAATACTAGATTAATGCCTATTTGTATACACATGTACCTTCATTATTTTTCTTCTAATTGTTGGTGGTGCTGTAACAATAGAACTTCCCCACTGTGGGATCAATAAAGTATATTCTATTCCATCTTGAAGATCACTATTCTGCGTGTGTATTTGCTTTCCCGCTCCAACACACCTGATTCAATGGTTGAATCATGTTCCAAGTGTTCAAGTACTAGGGAAGCCTGTTAACCACACATCCGTTAAAATCAGGAGAGAAGAAGAGAAACCTTTTAACCTACAGCAGGAGTGGCCTTCCTGGAGCAGGACTTGACACTCTCCATACTTTGAAATTCATTCACTACCTCCTTTGTCCTGTAGTCTAGTGCATTATCGGTCTAGAAGAGAACACCCAATCAGATTATAAAAGGAATGCGCTCAGATTTCAATTTCAACGAACCGTCTTGAGGAAACCCAGAATGCCAGCAACCAGGCCCCTTGTATCCCATCGATCTGTGCATCTAGTACTTTTACAAAATGCCTGATATTTGATTCTTATTCCTCTTGTGGGCCAAGCCAGCTGTTTTCACTTTTGTGGCAGTGTTATTTTCCATGTGAAATGCGAAATCTGTTCATGCGTTGAATTGGCTCAGATGAACAGATGCTGAACAGTATCTCCTTGGTGACCATTTTATAAGCTGTCAAGTCACAGTTGTAGAAATAATGAAAAAATATAATAACTAAGTTGTGTTTCTGCCAAATTCCCAACTTTAAACGCACCATAAAGCTAAAAATGTTCAAAATAGGCTTTATTTTACAAATAAAATAATCACATGAAACACAAACATTATTTTACTATATGTAATAACATAACATCATATAATATACAAACTATGGAGCTAAACAAAACTGACTACTTCAGAGACAGAACAATACATTAAGGAATCTGGTTTTTGTTTCTCTGCTGGGGCAGTTGTGTAAGTGTGCTTTGTTTTAAACCAATAATGCAAAACCCCTTTTTTATGGCTAAAAATGTTTGCAATTCAGTTTAGTAGGCCTATTTTATCAGCAGCTGACAGCAGAAAGTACATTCATTTCCATTTTTAAGACACTCCCAACTATGTAAGCTTTTAGTTTGTGCTCAAATATCAAAATAAAAGCTTTTCATAAAATAGATTTAAGTAACTGGTGTTAACAGAGGACACAAGGGAATTTAAAACAATTTAAGGTAAAAAAAAAAGTTAACCTTTTGCAGCTGAATGAACCTGAACTAAAAAGAGACCTTAGCTGGTTTCAACACAAGCATCACAGTAGAGAATCAGGCTCAGCCCTTTGCTGCTAGAAGCATGGCTGTAATATCATTTCTGTCATTTTCAAGTAGCTACTGCTGCAACAGAATACCATAGAGCTGATTGAGACAGCAGCGTGCCAATAAACACTCAATAAAAAATGGGACAACACACGAGATTTTAACATTTTGATCACTGACTGCTGCTTCAGTGTCAGCGTGGTTCCTGATGCTCCCAGTATTTACAGAAAGACGGCATCTTTAGGACTAAACACACCCTGATGGTTTTCCTGCTGTGCTCCTGACCTGTGTGAAAACACATTCACCAACTTCATGCGCTGAAGTGAAAACAGTGAAAGTTGCCAGGCTATGGAGTCTTGAAATCATGTTTGCCTCCCTCCCAGCTGCTTGCGTCTGCTGAGTTCCCGAAGAAAAACATCTGAACATCAAGAGAATGCTGTCTCATTTCACCTGAGACGAACTGTTGGCAGGGAGCTCTGTTTGGATTGTTGAAATTTTCTCTCCCATCACCTCCAGAGAGCTTTCCCCATGCGATGAACACAAAGCACCTTTCTCTGCAGAGCGCTGCTCTGAGCTGTTACCTTCATCTGGATTTACGAAGGCCTCTCTGCTTTGGGGTTTGATGAACTGCACGCTCAGTCTTGGTGCCACGGCAACAACACCCTGTTGGTTCGGCTTACGAATGCAGCGAGAAAGAGTAGAGACGCAGCTCTTTTTGAAGTTTTCATTCATGAAGGCATACACAATTGGATTGTTGAAGCTGTTGAAGAATCCGATGGCCTGAACGATGGCGATGATCATGTTTAGCGTCACGCCATCATATTTCTTCTCCAGATCATCTGAACAGGTAAACACAGAAAAGTTTCAATCTAAAACCTTTATAAATTGTTTATAAATAAACATTAGCAATAACCACTGCAGGTGAAACTTTGCAAAAGTCCATTTATTTCACTAATCCATTTTGAGAGAGGAACTCGGGAACCCTTTGAAGGTGTTCTGGATTCATTAGCTGATTAGAGTCTAGAATCTTTTCACAAAATTCTGATTGTCTGATATTTTGAATGTGGGGTTTTCATAAGCTGTCTGCCATAATAATCACAATTATAACAAATAAAGGCTTCAAATAATAGCTGACTTTGCGTGTAATGAGTCTATATTAGTTTCACCTTTAGTTGAGTTTCTGAAATAAATGAACTTGTTGCACCATATTCTAACTTTTTGAGTTCCACCTGTATACCATTTTGAGATTACAGTGATACATCTTGGCTGCCCTCTACCCATCAGTCCTGTGACATGTAAACTCAGTTTTTATAACTAGCAAGATGCTAATTATTTATACTTATTCTTTTTAGAAAAATCACACTACAACATGACATGAAATAAATCCCTGAAAGTACATCAAGAATCTCTTACTGTATTCAAACAGCATGTGGACTGTGTGGAAAGGTGCCCAACAAAAGGTAAACAGGAGTACGATGGTAACCATCATTTTAACAGCTCTCTTTTTTTTCCTGCAAAATGTCAGAAAAACATAATGATAATACTGGAGTAAACCAATTTAGGTGAAATGCATCATGACGCTCGCCTAGAACTCTAGACTCATTTGATACGACTTTGGCATCAACCTTGGACTGTTTAGACTCGAGCTTCTCTGTGAGAGGTGCTTGAGGCCTTTATTTAGAAAAATGATATGTCAAAGGTGTGGTTGACTGAAAAAACATGTTTTAATGATTATTTCTGATTATAATGGGTCACTCAAGAGTTTTTCATGCAGGCTGAACATGAATAGTCATCTACACCAGTGTTTCCCAACCTTGGTCCTCAGGACACTCTGTCCTACATGTTTTCCATGTCTCTGCTTCAGCACACCTGATTTACATGGCCTTCTCAGGTGGACATCAAGCGCTGTAAATGCCTATTAATCACTCATTCATTTAAGTCAGGTGTGTGGCAGCAGGGAAACACTGGTGTTTAAAAGAGAAACATGGAAAACATGCAGGATAGTGTGCCTTGAGGAGCAGGGTTGGGAAACATGGATCTATACCTATCTCTTGCGTTAGCTTCTGATGGACTAACCATTGACTAACATCTGTAGAGGTATGCCACATTGTTGTTTAATTGAATGAGACAGTTTGAAAGACAACCGTAGATTGTGCCCCTCGACTGAACCTCGACTGGGTCATGGTCACACTATATATTCACATACAGTGCTTCCCATAAGTAATTATACCCCTTAAAGTTCCTTTTGTTCAACCAGCAAGTATTTTTCTGATGGGAAATGGCATAGGTGTCTCCCAAACAGTAATAAGACAATGTACAAGAAGCATTATTGTGGAAAAAAACAAACATTTCTCAGCTTTTATTTTACACTTGAGCAAAAAGTGTCCAGTCCAGAATCATTAATCAGAATCAATCTGGTTGACTCCATGTACCATTTCCTAGCTTTGGATCTAAAAATTAAGGGTTGAAATCCCTGTCAGGGTAACCTCTGTAAAAATTAACTGAAAATAAAATAAATGATGATCTACTAGCTCGGGTTTCACCTCCACTTGTCAGATGTCGGGGAACAAAAATATTATCATAAGAAATGGTTGCTCTAAAGCCTAATGTAAAATACAAAGAAGACATTCTGTTAAAAGCTGTCTGTTTACTTTTTTGAGAAACCCGTTGTGTGCTGGTAATGTACACTCACCTAAAAGATTATTGGGAACACCATGCTAATACGGTGTTTGACCCCCTTTCACCTTCAAAACTGCCATAATTCTACATGGCATTGATTCAACAAGGTGCTGAAAGCATTCTTTAGAAATGTTGGCCCATATTAATAGGATAGCAACTTCCAGATGATGGAGATTTGTGGGATGCACATCCAGGACACGAAGCTCCTGTTCCATCGCATCCAAAAGATGCTCTATCAGGTTGAGCTCTGGTGACTGTGGGGCCATTGTAGTACAGTGAACTCATTGTCATGTTCAAGAAACCAGTTTGAAATTATTGGAGCTTTATGACATGATGCATTATCCTGCTGGAAGTAGCCATCAGAGAATGGGTACATGGTGGTCACGAAAGGATAGACATGGTCAGAAACAATGCTCTGGAAGCCCGTGGCATTTAAACGATGCCCAATTGGCACTAAGGGGCCTAAAGTGTGCCAAGAAAACATCCCCCACACAATTACACCACCACCACCAGCCTGCACAGTGGTAACAAGGCATGATGGATCCATGTTCTCATTCTGATCACGCCAAATTCTGACTACCTTTTGAATGTCTCAACAGAAATCGAGACTCGTCAGACCAGGCAACATTTCTCCAGTCTTCAACTGTCCAATTTTGGTGAGCTCATGCAAATTGTAGCCTCTTTTTCCTATTTGTAGTGTAGATGAGTGGTACCCGGTAGAGTCTTCTGCTGTTGTAGCCCATACGCCTCAAGGTTGTGCGTGTTGTGGCTTCACAAATGCTTTGCTGCATTCCTCGATTGTTACAAGTGGTCATGTCAGTCAAAGTTGCTTTTCCATCAGCTTCAATCAGTCAGCCCAATCTCATCTGACCTCTAGCATCAACAAGGCATTTTCACCCACAGGACTGCCGCATATTGGATGTTTTTCCCTTTTCACACCATTTTTGTAAACCTAGAAATGGTTGTGGGTGAAAATCCCAGTAACTGAGCAGATTGTGAAATACTCAGACCGGCCCGGCTGGCACCAACAACCATGCCACACTCAAAATAGCTTAAATCACGTTTCTTTCCAATTCTGACATTCAGTTTGGAGTTCAGGAGATTGACTTGACCAGGACCACACCCCTAAATGCACTGAAGCAACTACCATGTGATTGGTTGATTAGATAATTGCATTAAGGAGAAGTTGAACAGGTGTTCCTAATAATCCTTTAGGTGAGTGTAGAGTTTGAGACTACCACCAGAAGTGCAAGATTGATCTCAATACTACAAGGATAGCAACTAGTACCCACAGTTGGAGGTTTCTGAGACTGTTTTGTCAATTGTAAACCTAAAGTAGCTGACCAGAGCCATCAGTACATTTATAAGACCCACCTCTACCTGGGAGTCAAAAAGGTTTTCTTTGCACCCTCTCATAATCCCAGACAGCCTTTTTGTTGTGGCGTGTTATGGTATACGGAATTGGGGGCTTGTCCAGGATGATGAGGAGTGAAAATAAGATCCTCTCAGCTTCCAGGTAAAGGCAGACTTTGTTGATTTACTGATGACACTGGCCTTCTACTTCAAGTTTGCAACCAATACGATCCTGGGAACCAGAACACACACACAAATACACTAACACAGTAGTGTCCAAGATAGGTCCAAGGCTGAAACAGAAGATTAGTTTTGTTGAGAGGGAAGCAAGAAGGGCATCTTCTATGATTGCAATGTTTTATAAGCTTCAGCTTATAGTCACAATCTGTGATGGAGTTTAGGTTTGTATCAGACAAATATCAGTCAGCATGTTGATCATTCATAAAAGTTGAGGTTAGTAAAGCCTGGTCATCCTTGTTTCATGAGAGACAGATAGGTCAGTCAATAGAGGGCTCTCTGGTGATGTAAAGGATTACTAATCTCAGTACCATCCATTACTCTCACACTATTTGTTGTTAAAATCAAATAAAAACCAATTAACAGCAATGCTTGTGTAGAAAGGGCATTATGAAGAGGTGCTGGTGACGAAGACTGAGCGCCTGCTTGTCTATTTTACGTATTTTCATGGTCAACCATTATTACCCTAGCATATCAAATTATGGTCTAACAGATAACTTTCTCCAGACTAAACACTTAACTCAGTGCTCTAATAAAAATGTTTACATCTAATCAAAGTAATCTGATCAAACTAAACTGAGTTCAGAACTGACAAGCAAGCATGTAAAATCATCCAAAAAATTAGCTTTGAGAACTTAACCCAGCTTTCTTCTCGGTTATCAAATAAGATTATGTAAATCCTTAAAGTGACTGTGCGTATTGTTCCTGGCGAAAGGGGACAGTAGATACCTAAATCGTAAGCTATATTTTTGTGTTGGAGAAAGACTTTACCAACGGTTGCCCATTAGGGTCAAAAAGGCTTTGGGAGTACAAACTTGACAAGCAACAAAATGACAAGCACATCAGACATCCTTTCATCACTGATAATGAGTGAAGAGGTAAATGCGTAAACCAATGTTTATTAATGGTGAAAGTTTTGTAACCATTTTTTACGAATCAGAAAATGTGTTTTGTCCTTAAGGGCTCCTGTTGAAAGAAACATTGCATCTAATATGGCGCCACCCAGAGACTTGTACCCGCTCCCATGTATTTTAGACCTGATTTTTATGGTTATATGTTATGAAGCCGCCAATATTTTTCAAAAACTGGGCATCTTTTAATTCATTTTCAACAATATTTTGATGGATATTTCCAGAAATGTTATGGAAAAACTTATGTTTATTAATTCTTGATCATTGACTCAGTCAACTGAATGTAAATGTATTGCTCTATGCCTCATTCATCATGCTCACTCATTCAGACACACCCACACAAGCCACACACACGCGCACACACACACACACACACACACACACACACACACACACACGCACACACACACACACACACACACACACACACACACACACAATCTCTCTCTATATATAAATAAACTCTGTGACCGGATGTTTGGTGCATTTTGCCTCGTGCATCTTGCCACAGTTATAACTGTTTGAATTGTATACTCATTGTCTCCTTCTCTCTCCGACTACAGGAAATGGGTTATTGATAAACATATTGATAAAGTCCATGACAAGAGATTAATGATAAAAAGTACACACTGTCATTTTAAAGATGTTCTGCAGAAAATTGCATTTCCAAACATATGACCTATTCAAGACTAAAATGTAAACTACACCACCTTAAGTTTGCAGGTGTCATGAAGAAACTGTCTCACAACAATTCATGTAGATTACAAAATCAGAAAGAATTGAATGTACGAGTTGGAACAATAAAAATTATTAGTTGAAGTTTCCCCTGGTGTCATACCCACCTGGAAATCTTACCAATCTCCCTGTGGTTCATTGTGTTCAGGAAAGAAGCATCGCCAACCCTCTTGCGGATCCACAGCTCAATGCCGATGCGAGTGTAGAGAAAGAGCATGGCAGCCAAAGGGAGCAGGAAAAGAGCCACCATAATAAAGGTGGTGTACACCTGCCTGTACGTCAGTGAACTCCAGCTCTCCTGACAGCAGACATGGTAGTGGTCATACAGAAAATCATACTTCACCTGAAGAAAGTGAAGAAGAAAAGTTCTTAGATCAGTGAGGCAGATCCGGTAGCTCTGCCTGGCAAGTGGGAATAATAAAATGTGTTTTGGAGACATGGATGATTGACTTTTGATGGGATACTATGACTCGTAAGAGATCTGCAGATGTGACCTACAATTCTATCAAATGTGAGTCATGAAATGAGCTGCATCCTTTATTCAGCTCTATGATAGTGACACTTGTAGTGCTCTGTCCAAACAGCCCAGCTGGCTTGAAGAAGTTTTTACTAAAATAACCCACTTGAGACCAAAATGCAATTTTCTGTTTATAGCAGCACCACTCAGATAGAAACATTTCCCCAACTTTTCCCAACGTTTCCCAATAGAAACGTTTTTTTCTGGAGTTATTGAATTTCCAAAGTTTCCTAAAAGACTTTAATCTAAGGGCTGTGAAACAATTTTTACAGTTTTCTTTGTAACCTTCTTAGTGGCCTGTAGAGTGTCCACCCTGAGACTGGGAGATTGGGGTTCAAATCCCTGTCAGGTCATACCAAAGACTTTAAAAATGGGAGTCAATGCCTCCCTGCTTGACGCTCAGCTTTAAGGTTGGATTGGAGGGTTAAAGCACCAAATAGTTCCTGAGCGCAGCTTCCCTCTCCCCACAGGAATGGGTCAAATGCAGAGATGTAATTTCACCACTGTGTGATGATGACTAATGGGACTTTAACATAAACATTTCCTGACTTTTTTATTCAGTTTGTTTAGATGCAGATAAACATGTTCAATTCAGCACGAGGATTACCCCGAGGGGATTAAGTTCTCCTGTTGATTTAACTAAGCAGCAGTCTTCAGCAAGAAGATCAGACAAATTAGGATATATTTTTGTCTTAAAATTTGATGCCATAGTTCTCTACTGAGGACAGTGGTCTACGTTCAGATTAATTTCTGCTTGGTGGATTATCTGCAATGATTTTTAAACTATTGGTCAAACAGCTCCTCTAATATGGGTGTCATGAGCAAAATCAGGCTCAGAGGCTTACATTTGTCAAGTTGTATCAAGGACCAGCAAAATACTCATGAACTGCTAGATGGATTTCAGTGATATTCTCATAAAGTGTTTTTTGGATGTGCATCTACAGCAGATCTTCTTTTGGAGTTGATTCAAGCTACTCGCCACAGTGCTAGTAAACGAGTCCGCCTATTTTACAGATTTAAGGTAACATGAGATGTTGAAAAAGCTAAGACATGTTCTCTGAGTTCAGTGTTATTTTCCAACTACCAAGATTTGAGCAAGAAGATCCCAAGATCAATGTGGCATGCCATATTTCTGGTATGAAAGGTAGTTTACATATCCGTATGCCTTCATGAACATGAAATTCACCATTTCCACTTTTGTTTAATGACTGATTAGTTTTGATTGTGACTTTATCTACAAATCACTCCTTAACAGTTAATTTTGGAGCAAAATGTTAGATTTTTTTTATAATAAAGTGAAATAATTAAATAAGACAGATTTTGTCAGGAATAAAGTTTCTACATTAACTAAATTTCTGTTATGTATATCAAACAACTTAGCAATTTTTTTTTTACTTTTTTTGTAAAACTCTGAGCTGAAAGGCATCTTTGACATCCACTTCTGAGTGGTATATCCTGTGCAGTCTTAGCTGAAGAATACTATAGAAAGTGTGCTGAAGGATACTTACCTCAAGCTGTTGCACAAATAGCATTGGTGAACCCACTATCACAGAGGCAATCCAAACAAGCCCTGCAGGATGCAAACACGTGTCAGGAAAAGACTGTTTCAGCAGGTAAAACTCAAGCTTTTAGTTCATCCAGTAGATGTATAATCTTAAAATACTGAACCCGTTGAGAAAATTCAAGGCTGACTGTTGTGTGACAAGTGCAAACAGCAGCCAGTTTCAGCAGATTTTTCTCATGTAAACTGCCAGTAATTGTATTGCACATTTGATCTTTGTTCCAGCAGAATAAAACCACAAGACTTAGCTCACATGAGTAAATGTTGCGTGACTCAAGGGTTCAGCATGTTTTATACAGTCAGAAAAAGAAGCAGAATCATAAATGGTTGATGTCAATTCCAAACAGTCCATTTTATTTGGTGTTTTTACTTGATCCTACAGCCACTCATGTCCCTTTGCTAAAGGTGAGACACGTCTCACACCACACAGGTTATATCAAATAAGCTCAACATGTTAAAAAATTGCATCCCTATGGACTAAAGAGAAACTAAACATGTAATGTATTTTGTTTAGTTTCTTAAACCTCATATGAAATATTAATACACTCTTGAAAACATACCTAACATCTTGTATGCTCTTTTAGACGAGTACTGGCGCCTCATTTTCAGAGGGAAGACTATGCCTTGGTACCTCTCAATAGCAATACAGGTCATTGTCAGGATGCCTGTGACTATGGCCATGGTTTGTACAAAGGGAACAGTCTTGCAAACTAGAACCCCTGCAAGAAAAATAAAAAGAGTGTTTTAATGTCCTGAAACGAGACGAAATAACAAAAATCACTAGTCTTTTAAATTTGATATGCCAATTAGAATAACACCAAAGTTCCCATTGATAAATGTATGTTGGATCTCAGCAGCAGGATTATTTTTAGACCTAAACCCCATTAATCTGGTGAGTCTGATTCATTTGCCAATTTTAACTCAGGCTGTTCTTTTTTTGGAACAAAATTCCTAAATAAACTTGTAGTTTCCAGTCTTGGAATTTTCCTTTGGCAGTGCAAGCACTGAAGTTGAAGCTAAACACTAGCAGCAGAGTTGTGTGCAGGTAAAAAGACCTGACCAGTGAGAACTGCCTAGACTCGTAAAGGTTCAGGTCTGAACACCTTTATAAACTGGCAGAAGGACATAACAAGAAGGTGGATGCCAAAAAAAAAAAAACCTGAGTGGTGGGCATTTTTTAAGTCCTGCCCCCTCCTTATAAACACCCTCCTTGAGTCACCTTGGTCCTGCATGTTTAAATATTTTCTATTTCCAACACATTTAGTTGTAATCAGTTATCAGATGAAGCATTCTTTGCTGTGTTGAAAAAGGCAGAAGATGAAGCTGTAAAAGATAAAGACCACAATACGAACTAACAGAAGCAGAAGAAAGCATATTAAAAAAAAAGGTTTAAACTTTGCAGTAACACCAAAGAAAATACCATATGAGGAATTTATTGTAGCAACAGAACTAGCATGTCAGCAGATCACAGATGAGTGAAAGAAAACAGACCTTAGAAATAATGTTGTCGGGATATTAAAGAACAGCAAAATTCAACACAGCAATATTACAAAAGAAGAACAATCAGCCATGACAGCATTATCCAAAAATGAACAGATAATTACTCTACCGGCAGACAAAGGAAGAACTACAGTAGTAATGGACAAAGAAAAATATAAACAACAGATAAACAGATGCTAGAGGACAAATACATACAAAATACTTCAAAAAGACCAAACAGAAAGCATTAAGAAAAATATGAAAAAATTACTGAAGCCACTACAAGAAAAAGGCAAAATAGAAAAAAAAATGTACAAACACTGTATCCCTACAGCAAACATAATACCAAGAATCTATGGAACTCCAAAAATACACAAACAAAATATCCCACTTAGACCGATAGTAGACAGCATAGGTACACCAACATTAAACATGGCAAAAGAAATCAGCAGAATCATCAGCCCGTTATTAGGTAACACAGATCAACACTGCAAAAATAGCATAGAACTGGCAAAATAACTAAAAAAGATTACAATAGAAGATAACGACATACTCATCTCACATGACTTCACATCCCTGTTCACAAAAACACCAACCCAAAAAACCATAGACATAGTAGTTAACAGAATCAGACAGGACAAAACTTTACACGAAAGAACAAACCTCACAGCAGATGACATAGCACAACTGATAGCACTGGTAGCTAACTCCACTTACTTCACATACGACAACACAATATACAACACAATATACAAACAACTGGAAGGCTTTGCCATGGGTAACCCGTTATCAGCCACCCTGTGCGAGTTTTTCATGGAGGACCTGGAACAAAAAGCCATAGCCACTGCCCCCCAAACGGCAAAATAAAACTATGGAAACGCTTCGTAGACGATATACTGGAAATCATACCAAAAGGACAAACCGAAACACTAACACAACACTTGAATAACATTGATGACACATGCAACATAAAGTTCACATAGGAGTCAGAAACAGAAGGCAGCATAGCTTTTATGGACATGAAAATAAGCAGGCAGACCGACGGGACCCTAAACATAAACACATACAGGAAACCAACACACACAGACCAATATTTATTATGGACATCAGAACACCCTATCATACACAAAATGTCAGTAATCAGAACATTATATCACCGAGCAAACTTGATAACAGAAGAAAGAGACCGTAAACAAGAGAACAAACACATATAACACGCTTTAAAGACCTGCAGATACCCGACATGGGCAATAAACAAAGGAAAACAACAAACAACAACAGAAAGAAAAGAACAACCAAAGCAAAGAACCAGAAACCCAGAAAGACAAGAACCAAAACCAGTGATAACCTTACCATACATTAAAGGCATAACAGAAAAAAATAAGAGCAACAATGAAAAAACAACATAAACACACCAACAAACCCATACACAACAGTTAGAAACAGACCAGTACACTCAAAAGACAAAATACCCGCTGGACATAAATGTGGAGTCGATTACGAAATCCCATGCAAACTCTGCAATAAAACATAGGAGAAACCGGACGCCAACTCAACACACGAACAATAGAACATAAAGGAGTGTGAGAAAGAAACAAGTCGAGGACACACAAGAGCAGCTAAAGAAGAAGCAGAAAGTACAATAAAGAAATCGGCCGTAACAGATCACTGCACAAGAGAAAACCATGTAATGGACTGGGACAACACAAGGATCATAAACACCGAACAACGGAAATACAAAAGATGGATAAAGGAAGTTATAGAGATAAAGAGACGTGGATGTGGGACTATGGACAGAGACGAAGGAGTTTACTCATTGGATCGCGCATGGGACTGCATCATCAGAGAGGGAAGAGCGGGCAGCAGAGGGCGACAACGTCCTCTGCTGCCCGCGGATAAACGGAGTATGAAGTGAAGCCACCATCAGCGTCTGCTCTGAAGATGTTTGCAGCCGCAAACAAAATGTCAGCAAGTTAAAGAAAAACCTTATTTGTGTTTAAAAAAGAACCAAAAAAATGGAATTTGAAGACAAACATAGAAAGAGCGTACAAAAGATGTAAAAGATCCTGGTTCTTACATTGGTTCCTGTGAAGGTTTTTCTTTGGTGACACTTTATTATAAGGGTCCCTTTATTATTGTTACTTAGTGCATTAATAAGCATGAATAAACTAATAAATTAGGTATTAACTGCTTAATATTAATGTTAATGTCAAGTAACAGGTGTGTGTGTGTGTCTGTATTACTAAGCAGACACACACACACCTGGTCCTTTGCCCTCAAGGACACTTGATAGCTAATATTGGGAATCTCAGTAAAATTATCCTTTGTTTATTAATGCAAAGTTATGTTGATAAAGGGACCCTTATTGTAAAGTCTTACATTTTCTTTCTTTAATTTGTACCTTTTTAATCTGAGTAATACAAAGATGGTTTGAGGGCTTTTTCAATCAATCAGTCAATCAATTAAAACTTTATTTATACAGCTCCTTTCATGCAGAGCAATTCATTGTGCTTCACATCAATTCCAGTGTAAGTTTATAAAATGAGAAAGAATAAAAGTAACAAGTGAATCCAAACAACACAATAAAAACAATAAAAAACCCAAATAAAAACATTTGTTATTGTGTTACTATACATTATTATTTTGGTGGGGGGAATCTAGTTTGATATGAATTTGACATTTTTGCGTTATTGCTTTCCTTACTTGATCTAATTTGTTTTGTACATTTCAAATAGTAAGACATGAAGGCATGAATAAAATAAATTGTAAACTACTCTGCAGATAACAGAGCTGTCAGTAGATCAGTAAAGGTTGAACAAATGCATCTTCTGATTTCTTCTCCCCTTTTCAAATGTCAACCAGGAGTTTCGGAGACAGTCTGATCCTCCACCAGGTTTCATTGCAGCTTCTGTTTCCTGAGCATGTCCTTTTTCCTTCCCTATCAGCCTTGGGGAGACCCCAGGTCTTAGTTTTCATTTAGATGTATGATTCTTGGTTTCTCTTTAGAAAAACCTGAGGGGTTCACCTGTGTGTGTTTCTAGTCCCTGTCCAATCACATCCATTCATGCGTTAGTGATTGTAAGATATTAGCCTCTTTTTATTCTCTCCGAAAACCTCATGCACCTGGCTCAATCCTGCAGCACAACATTATTAGCATGAGTCTTTATTGTTTTTATTTGTAAATGATAATAAAGTGTATTTGCGTTTTAAAAAGACCTTTGATGACTCATTGGGATTCTGCCAGTTCAGTCTATAACGCACACATAATTATTCCTATTAAGACATCACGCTATGGGTCTAATAAGTGACTTAATGAGAAACTCACCACCGAACCACTCAGAAGAAATATTCTGCAACAAAGTGAAAGGGATGCAGAAGAAAGTGATGAGCAGGTCGCTGACCGCCAGGGAGCAGATAAAGATATCCGTGGCCGTCTGAATCGCCCGCTTCTTCACCACTATGTAGATGACCAGACTGTTTCCGGCCAGAGCCAGCACGAAGATCACCACGTACATGATCACGAACGTGGTCTTGGCGCTGTAGGGCAACTCCGGGATGTAGACGAGCGGCTGGATGTTGTAGGTGCTGATGAACTCCTGGCGGCTCAGGTTGTAGTACTGGAGCATCTCCTGCAGCACTTCTGGAGTTATTTTGGAGGCGCCCTGTCCCGAGTCTGTGGACGCTGCCATCCTCAACGCGCCGGGGCTTAAAAAGTCATCAACTCCGAAAAGAAACGAGGAGCAAGCGGAGAAGTGGAGCGGATTCAGGGAGCTGCGACATTCGGAACCTGCAGATGCGTCTGGATGTTGAACCGACTCTTTAACCTGGAAGATCCAGATGTTGCTCTCTCTCTCTCTCTCTGACGTGAAGGTGTGCACGCGCTATATGATGGGGGTGGTCTTCTGGAGGAAGTACCATAAAGGAAATAATTGGAATGAGAAAATGAGTTTCCAGCATTAACCTTTGAAAAGTAAATAAAACAATCAAAAGCAACATTTATGGGTCTCCAAGTGTAAAGTAGGGCTTTACCTGTTCCCATTCGAATTTCTATGATCTCAGGCTCCTTTACAACACAAACTCCAGAGATTACAGTCAGTGTCTAAAATGTTTCAACATAAATCCAAAAATCCAAAAACGTCTGTCACATTGAGGAGATGTTTAGGACCAAAAATGCAGATTACCCAGACGACAGGAGGCAGAAGTTGATTCAAAGTAAAAATAATTTTATTTACAGGATGAAAGAACAAAAATTAATCCAAGGCAGCGAGACAAAAGTCCTGGAGCACAGGACACCCAAAGCTCTCTTAGAGCACCAAAAACCTTGAGACAAAAAGCTCACTAAGACCTAGAGACAAAAAGCTCAGACAGAGCACGAACACACACTGACAACAATTCAATGGACCGACAACCACACAGAGACAAGACAGGGCTTATATAGACTGGGAAGATGAGAGGGAGATGAATTGCAGGTGTGTGGGGAGAGGGCAGGTGAACACAATTACTAACTCAGGGAGGAGGAAGAAAACACTGGTGGGAAAAAACACACTAAATAATGAAAGGCTGTAACAAAGGAAAATGACCTAAGAGAAAAACAAAAGACCAGAAGGCATGAACCATAACTAATATTCTAAGGGGAAGCTGACACTACAGAAAGAAACTACAGGGGCGTGGCTAAGAGGGGGCCAAGAGAGCACAGGACCTGGGAGAGGGAAGTCTGAGGAGGGAGAGGGCTAATGGGGAATACCAGGAGACACATGAGGAAGACGCAGACACGACACATGAGGGCACTAGAAGACACAAAAGGAGCACCCAGAGACGAATGAGGACAAAAGGAGACACATGAGGTGAGACGCAGACACAGACCATGACAATCTCAAGTAAAAAGGAAGACAGAAACAGTAAAAAATGACTATATCGTGTTTACACGTTTGTAGATGAGAACATGTTTGATTCTGCCCTCTTTTACGTTGAATTTCTTTCACAGTTTTCATTGGTTCACTCTATCCCTTGTTTTACCCATCTGTCCTGTACTAGAATGTTTCACCTTTTTTTGTAATTTGTATTTTGTAATTTGAATTGCTTTTTTTTAAATTGGTTTTATTTTTTATTTATTCACTATATTTGTACTTCTACTGTACCATGTTCAGCGCCTTGGGCTTCCTGACAGGGTTGCGGAAGGCGCTTTATAAATGAAGCTTTAATTTGATTGATTTGATTTGATTTGTAGGTACATCTAAACATTAGAGTAAAGTGCTGTACAATTACAGCAAAAAGGTGAAATTCAAAAATAAAATAAACATTTATAAATCAAAAATAAGCATTTAGGAAACATGCATCACAAAGCATGGATAAAAATGGGGTGACGATATCTCCTTTATCTAACATCTCATTTCCCTCGCATGGCGCCTGCAATTCAATCAGTCACTGGAGTCAAAGACACACAACCAGTCACACTCACACCTAAGGACAATTTAGGGTAAATAATGAACCTTTTCTCCTTTTTTGTCTGTGGGAGAGGAGATGGAGCACCTGGAGAAAGGCCACACATGCGCAGAGAACATGCAAACGTTGTGCAGAAAAGCTTTAGCTGGGATTCAATCCTGCAACCGTCTTGCTGCAAGGCAACGTGCTCCACCATTCAGCCACCCTGCATGTTACTGAATGAAACCGAATATTACCCAATCATCACTGACACATTAGATGTATTATCTCTTCACTTAGCTTTTATTTTGATACTTTTACTTTAAATAATCTGAATGAGCAAGTTAGCCAAACAGTATTACATTTACTTTGGGTTTCATTTAGGTGTACTTTCTCTTTCTCTTTAAAGGAAAATAGGTGTACTTTTCCCAATTTAAATACTTAGAATCTATTACAAAAATATAGATGTAGCTTTTTATGTATTTATTTTTGATTGTGAATAGTTTACTTCATATTTAGACCTTTGATTTTAGATATTCTTATTTAACTTTGGTATTTGAAACTAATTATGGAACAGCAGACCAACATGGAAATGCTTTCTGGAATGCTATGCATGTCCATTTTTGTATTTCACAATTTAATATGTGACCATTTCTTTGATTATATTTGTGTCTTCTGCACAAATATGGATAGACACATTTATTTTCTTAGATGACTGTAACTGTTCTATTCATGCTTTTGCATGAACTTAACATCACCACCAGTGTGTGAATGGGGAAATGACTGTTGTATTGTAAAGCACCTTGGGGGGCCCACGACCATGGAACACTCTAGTAAAATACAGGCAGAAATTGCCTAATTGGAATGCCATCTATTCCTGTCAGACTGTTATCTCCGGGCGACAGTAGCTCAGGAGGTAAAGCAGGTTGTCCAGTAATTGGAGGGTTGTGGGATCGACCCCTGCTCCTGCCAGACAACTCTGCTGTTGTGTCCTTGGGCAAGACACTTAGCCCACCTTACCTTCTGGTGGTGGTCAGAGGGACTGGTGGCCTCTGTCAGTGTGCTCTAGGGCAGCTGTGGCTACAATGTAGCTCATCATCAGTGTGTGAATGGATACTTGATACACTGTAGTGTAAAGTGCTTTGGAGTCCTCTGACTCTGAAAGGAATAAAAGTAATTTTTCTTTGACATTTAGCATGATTAAAACAAAAGCAAAGGGAACAAATTAGCTTGAAACATATGTTTGTTTGTGTTTGCATTAGGGAGCTAGCAAAGTGGCCTGAGTTCATTGGTGCTTTCTTGTGGTTTTATTTTGTATACAAATATAAAACTTATCATTTGAGCTCATGACCATATGTTCGTGACTGATTTATAAGGTACAAGTGAATGGCTTGAGAGGGTGATTTATCCCACAGAACGTCTGAGTGGACTTTTAACAAAAGCATATTAAAAAGATACAATTAGCAGGAATGTCAGTTTCACATGAAGCTGTAACATGATTTATGTCCTGCAGAAGGCTGCGGTCTACTTACATTACATAAAACAGTCTTACGAAAATCCATTTCTCTAAGATGTCAGAATCATTGTTGCATTCAGCTGCATGAATGTCCTCTGCTGCGTTATCAGCTTAGGAACTTTTAATGGATTTTCATTACATAATTCAGCCCACACTCTGAGGGACTGTGAAGTTGTAATGATGAAAAAACTCAGAGGAACAACAATACGGTGCAAATAAACAGCTGATGCTGAACCTTTACCTCCAGGTGGCTGCATGTGTGTAAACTGCTGCTGCCTCCTGTCAGTCATCTCAACTAATCATCTACCACCTGCACCTCATACCAAAGTTTTCATCAGAAATGATTAATTGAATGATATGTGTTAGAAGTAGGTACAATTAGTACTAACTGAGATTAGATGCACTTAATATTCTTTTAATTTAGCAGCCTTTGATGAGGCGTTTTTCTCTCTTTTGACTTGTTTTACTCAATTTTATTGCAAAAAAGAAAATGCAAAAAGAAAATGAATAACTTGTTCACATTTCATGAACCACGGGATGGATTTTGATAACATTCTTGGGAAGTAAACATTACATGTGCACCTGCAATTGCTTACATTTTGGACTCATTCTAATCAAAAACGACCACCACAGACAAACAACATATACAAGCATAATGGCTGCAGGGCTGCAAGGTGTTGCAGTTGGTTGCCCTGCTGCCTCACATCAAGATGGCCGCTGCAGCCGTTCCCTGTGGAGCTAGCATGTTCTGTCCATGCATGCGCGGGTTTCCTCTGGGTGCTCTGGCTTCCTCCCACAGGCCAAAAACATGAATGTTAAATTAATGGGTGACTAAATTGTCCCTACATGTGTGTGAATGGTTGTTTGTCATGTGTCCTGATGGACTGGCGACCTGTCCAGGGTGCCCCCTACCTTTCACCCAGTGAAGTCTAGAGAAAGACACCAGCTTTCCATGACCCTCTGGACAAACTATTTGGCAAATGAATGATTAAATGAATGAATGAGGTAGAATTTGAGAAGCTGAGAGTCGTTTTCAGCACACACTATAAGCACTAATTGATTGTGGTAGAGCTTTAATTGAAGCATTACCTTACCATATTGGTTATGGTTAACATTAAAAAAAGCTTTAAGTTAAAAACCAGAGCTTTAATTATTCAGCACCTAAAATCAGATCCATCTTTATGACATCGCTGTGTCCTTAGGCAGGACACTTCCCCCTCGCCTGCTGATGGTGGTCGGAGGGACCGGCGGTGCCCGTTTTGGCAGCCTTGCTTCTGTCAGTGTGAGCAGCTGTGGGTATGATGTAGCTCATCACCACCAGCATGTGAATCAGTAGTATTGTAAAGTGGCTTGGGGGGTTTTAGAACTCTAGAATGCGCTATTTAAATGCAATTTTCCATCCTGATATTTCACATTTCATTTCAGTTTTCCTTTTCACTTGTTTGTCCTTGACACACAGCCTTTGAGAATCTAAAAGTTGTATTTAATCAGTTTCTCTTAGAAAGAAACAGAAAAATCCTAACAAAAATGATGTACTGTGTTTTATTTTAGCCCATTTGAGTCCTTTTCTTTTCAAAAGTGTCTTTGTTTGCAAAAGAAAAGAAGAAAACAACTTTAGAACTTTTCAGCTTATGCGAAAACAAAAACTTTGCTGGTGTAATGACTTAAAGTCACCCTGACAATACGTGCTATCTATGTGCTAATCATGGTTTCCACAGAAACATGAAGCTTGTTATAATTATTTTTTTGTCAATCTCATAAAAAAAGCTGACATATGCCACGAGACGTTTAATTAAAATAATAGTCAAGAAACTATAACAATAACATATGACACAATAACATTCAGTGTAAATCAACTGATCTAAATGTACAAAGTTCTATGTTGATGACACGGCTCTGGGACATGAATTCAAGTCATTCTTGTAATGTTATTTTCAAAGCCTCTTATTCTGTTGAAGTGGATTGTTTTTGAACAGACTCCTTTTTGAGTTCATTTAATTGTATTTTTTCTGTCATAACATAAACAAAAAAAATCATTTTCTTGGAAGCAACGGCTGCACAATTTTCTATCTCTGTACCAAATTTATTAAATGTAGAATATAACATTTGCCTTCAGTTGTTTTTGGCTGCTGTAAACAACAAATCTTCATCAGCATGTGACTTCTTTTTCTTCTTTTACGTATTTTAATTTTGCAGATGCTGAACCACAGATAAGAGGGAGAAGCCAGAAATGTTTGATTTGTATCCCAACCCTAACCTGTGATCATGGGTAGTGGCCAAGAGGACAAGATTCAGCATACAGGCAGCCAAAATGAGTTTCTTCTGCAGACTGACCAGACTCAGGCCTAGTCCACACGTAGCCGGGTTTTTTTTAAACGAATATCCGCCCCTTCAAAAACTTGCATCCACACCACCGCGTTAAAAAAAAACCTCTGTCCACATGTACCCGGATAAATACGTTGTTAAGGACATGCCAGACCTGTAGGCGGCAGTACTTCCCCCGTTCTTAACCTTGTCCTTCGTCTGTGGTCTTCCACAAGGAGCAGTAATTCCGCTTGCAAAAACAAACAAGCAAAAAGTGCTTGGACAATTGATAAAGCGAGCGCAGCTCTGAGGGCATCCATGCTGTCGGCTAGTGTAAACACAGGTCGCACACGTGATGTCAGCATTTTTTGTCGCGGAAAGTGACGTTGCGGACCTTAAAACTCCGGTTTTGTCTGTCCACACGCAGACACCCAAAACGGAGAAAACGCAGATCTTCACTTTGGCCGGAGTTTTTAAAAAGATCCGTTTTC